AAGATACAAATCGGATCAGATTCGGATTGAGAACGGGAGAATCGGGACGAACTCGGCTGGAAACGGCTGAATCGGGACGCTTCCTGAACAGTATCTGATTGTGAATTTCCCGCCACGAATCACAGGATCTTGATCAGACTTTTGACAAATGTTAATCGGGAATGGCCCTTTCAAGGACGGCAGAAAAAATCCTGAATGTGTGACTGAGCCTTCACATAGCTTCTCCTTAACGTTGTCTGCTTACATCAGCCCATCTAACTCATCAGCATAGAAATCAACTGTCAATATAACATTCATCATATGTTCGTGGAATGGGATAGAAGGATAGGTGAACTTCAATTGATATCATTAATCTAGGAATAGGATCTCAGTGACCTTCAGCGGCACCGGTAATAGTGTTGACGTGTTGGGGTGACGTGAGGTAACTATGGATGCTGCAAGTGATTACAAACATCACTCGCGAGGGACTGATTTGTGTGTTGCAGATAGCAACAGTAACGGCGAACAATAAAGGCACATCCAATATGACGTGTTGACACAGTGTTGACTAGACAGCGTCAGACGTGATGTGGCTGCTGATTCTGTGTTTCATTTTCAATCATCGACGTGATCATTCCTAGCAACACCACCGACTTCACCTACTGTCGTGTATTGCTTACTGTGGAGTCGATTCATATCGAACTATTATTATCTGGTGTTTGTTTGCTGATAAATTGAGAATTTAATTATCTTCCAAGATCAAGTATATCAAGACGAGTTTATAAATGTTACACGATGTTTAACTTCTTTCCAACAACACTTGATATATTTTGAGCTTCGAAGACACGAGGGTGTACGGTGGCCCATAAGGGACATGGAGTCTGTTTTTCAATATTTTGATATTTCACTTACTTTTATCGTAACCTTTCGCAAATTAACACAATTTGTCATATATAAATATGTGATAAATCATGTATAAAAATAACCGAAAACATTGAAAATATACTTTGAAGTAGCTAATGAATCGCTGAAATGTGAAGCGAAAATGTCATAAACTAAAAAGAAAATACATGTTTTTGACATTTTCATTTTAGTTTTTGACCTTTTCGTTTTTTTGTTTTTGACATTTTCATTTTAGTTTTTGACATTTTCGCTTCACTTTTCAGCGATTCAAAATTTTCATTATGCATGATTTATCACATGTTTAATTTATGCATGTATACATGCATTTAAAAATCATTAAAAATAATTAATAAGTAAAGTAATCATTATTTGTGTGTGTGCTTGCGTTCATTAACGATTTTGTATTTTTGTTATTAGCATCCTTGGGAGGAGATTAAAATCATCTAAAAAATGCATAAGAAAATGTTTAATACGCATTTGTAGTGTTCCAAAACGTCCCTAAAATGTTAAAATCATAACAAAAATGTCTTTCTTTATACATTACCTCCACCTTCCCATATTAACATATTCAGAAATTTTGCTCTCGTGTTCTTATTCTACTTTATTTTCCTTTAGTTATAAATAGTAATTAAATTTAATTTATTTTTTAAACGCAAATCTACATCATACAGGTACCAAATGTTCTTTTAGTGCATGCATGGTAGTTTCTGTTGTGTTATGCTATAGGAACATGCTATCGTGACATAATCGCTAATTCACATGTTTACTAATACCCGTTATGTTGTCATGGATACTTCTGTCGATTATTTCATCATCTTAACCAATTACTGACGACGAGTCAGTATCAAGGGTTTTATCACCACGAATATCCTTCCTGTGCTTATTGTTGTAGATACAATGGGAGCCAATGTTTTCCAGAACCTCAAGTGAAAGGTGACTGTGGCAAATGAATGAGCCAAATATAATCGATGGGCAATCACCAGTTACGTCATTTGTACAACAAACTCGATCACTGAATATTTATTATCTTATAAATATTCAACATTATAACAACCTAATACGTTTCTCGTTCAGAACCACCGTGTTTAGATGTACTGCGATCTATGAATTATGCATGGTAAATCTTAGTAATAGGTACTATTTTTTGTGTAAATATCTCACCCAATGAGCCGACACATAAAACACTATAACATTTGGAGTCCTTTTGTGTCCCTTAACGTCTCAGTCAGCAGGGGGCGGTGGGGTAGCCTAGTGGTTAAAGCGTTGGCCCGTCACGTCGAAGACCCGGGTTCGAATCCCGACATGGTAGGTACAATGTGTGAAGCCCATTTCTGGTGTTCCGAGACGAGATATTGCTGGAATATTGCTAGAAGCGGCATAAAACCATACTCACTCACTCACTCCGCAATACTGTCAGCTATATCATCACAGCGGCCAGTGCGTTATCGAGTCTGGACGAAAATCAGTGGTTAACAGCATGAGCTGCGAAGAGCACCGTCTTAGCATGGTGGCATTCAACCGTCCAGGTCAGATACTGCAACCACTCATTCCTAAGTAAGGCCGGCTGTTACAAGCCTTGGCACAAATACAGCGTATCAAAGGTTTTTATGTCTTTTTACACGTAAAAGTGTGTAAAAATATGAACAAAACAGACTATTGTGAAACTGAGCATAACCAGGTATTAGTAGAATGAAAGGTGAATGTCCATGACCTATGACACCTTGACGACAGGTGAAAACAGGTGCTTGAAACCCACGTGCATGTGATTTGTCAGTGGTTAGTGATTTGTGAGTGGCATTGTGGGATAGTGAATCATCGTCAAAATATCAGAACGTAAAAGAAACATATTCCCTTCTCAAACAACAACTCACATGTCATTATTATTATGTACATGAACATAGCTGTTATTTTTATTGTTGTTTTGATAACTTTTTTCCAGGCTAATTTACATAATGCCTATAGGCTGTTTCTGCCATGTCAGTTTGGACTTAGTTTTATTTTTGAATGTTGAAAGTGTCTACAAATTACCTCCTGTAAAGTACAATTTGTATTGAGCACTGAGATAAAACTAGCCAATCCAGACTTGTACTTTTCCAGCCGTTTTGTTATTTTGTATTTACATCTACGTAATGCTTTGTGTCGATTATTAAATCCAGCAAAACAGTTTTTTTTTTCATTTCCATGAGTACTGAGTACTTCAGAAATCCGTCGTTTTCCAGATTTATCAAAACATTGTTTTTGTTTTTAGAATCTATTGCAGCGCTCGTTCCTGATAACGAGCCTTCGCAGATTAAAAGGATATTTTACAGACGCTTTCCCCAGTATATGTCTTTTGCACTGTTTGTTTTGTTTGTTTGTTTGTTGTTTAACGCCGCACACAGCAATATTCCAGCTATATGACGGCGGTCTGTAAATAATCGAGTCTGGACCAGACAATCCAGTGATTGATATCATGAGCATCGATCTACGCATGAAAGGGTTCCATCTCTATTGGAGTTCGTTGAGTCGCAGCGTGGAGGGAGACAGGTGTTACTTGATAGCTTCAGGTAATGGCTGAACAACAGACGGTTTACATGCATCCACTGGAAATGTTGCTGTTCTGGAAAATCACGGCTGTCGGTGCATTTATCTGGAACAAGTTTCCGCACAATCATCCGTCAAAAAAATATGAACAAAACAGACTATTTTGAAACTGAGCATAACCAGGTGTTAGTAGAATGAAAGGTGAATGTCCATGACCTATGACACCTTGACGACAGGTGAAAACAGCTGTTTTAAACCCACGTGCATGTGATTTGTCAGTGGTTAGTGATTTGTGAGTGGCATTGTGGGATAGTGAATCATCGTCAAAATATCAGAACGTAAAAGTAACATATTCCCTTCTCAAACAACAACTTACATGTCATTATTATTAGTATCCTGCGTCTGTGTGTGGTCACTGAGTCCTTGTCCGTTCAGCGCATATTATGATGAAGAGATCTCAGAGAGATTGGACCGTAAGATGATGCTTTTCTCTTGTCATATGATACCCTGCGCCCTGGCTTGTGTAGGAAACGAAAGAAGAACATCCCAGCTCTGCAGCGTTCCCTTGCAGAGGTTGACCTTCCCATCCATTGGACAGTTACTCAAGACAACAAGAGCTTCCTCTGTGTCAACGGTGGACATATTCTCCGCCACACATGTGCGCCTATTGGATGGAACGCTAAATCTTCCCCAAGCCATCCCCTTTAATGATTACACAGTGACCAGCTGGGATTCCTCCTGGTTTATTGAATGGAGACCACAGAATGAAACAAGCTCGCTCAATACCGCCATGGCGCTCGATCCCTACCACGAAAGAAGTACCGTGAACTTCGCGTCTTCCCAAGGCAGGGGAGCTAACTGACTATAAAGTCCAGTTTCCACGTGGAAACTGGACTTTTACAGTCAGTTAATTTCCTTGCCTCGGGAAGATGTGAACGTCGTATCGTCAGACGCAAGATCACATCTACAGATAGGTGTAGGAAGTACGCTCCTTAATGCTGCTGGGCCAGTGTTAAAAATGGACTAAATGAGAACTGTAATTCTAAGATTGTGATCAAATCTATCAAATATATCTAATATTTATCAGTGTTAGTGATAACTAAGTATTGTAAGAGTTTCACATTGTTAAATACTTTTCAGTGTAAACAATGTATTTCATATTTTTATTGTAAGTATTTTACAAATGTCAAATATTTTCATTATCAAATATTTAAAATCAAAATTATTATGATTCACGGCATTGCTCCATTGATTAATGCATTCAGTACATCATGTACACATTTAAATAGAGTACAACCTAGTCTACTCCATTCGGCTCCTTTTAATGTCACAGGTCACCTCCGGCAGCATTCGGAAGAATCCATATTGAAATTGGATTTCATGACTGATAACGGTACAACACCCAATCTCATTAAAATCAGACCTTAGTTCTCGCTACCGCTAAAAAAAGATCTGAAGACATCCCAGAACGACCTTTCATCCGACCAATCAGAGCGTCGCTTACCAGATTATGAAAGTGAAAGTCGGAATGTGATTTCTAATCATGCAACCTCGAAAACTTTACCATGGGGTATTCCGAACGATAGTTACGGGTTTAACGACTGAATCCTTACAATCTAGACCATCTATTAGCCATTCTAGAATGTTTTTTTTTGTTCAGGTTTCAAATTTGTAATCGAGAATTTGTCAAAATATGTTTCGAAGTGTAGTCGCCATTTGAAATAAGTGCCGCAAAGTACGAGAAAGCTCCCTTCTGATTGGTCATTCCATTGGTCGGTCAAAGTTCGCGGAAGGTCGGTCTGACGTGACCCATAATGGGATGTCTTCAGATCTTTGTTTAGCGGTAGCGAGAACTAAGATCTGATTTTAATGAGATTGTACAACACCCAATATGGCGGCTATCATTACCCTTATATAAATGATGCTCGATATATAATAAAAGAAAAGAATATTTTGAAAATTGGACATATAGATGTTCTCTACGAACTGAATGCGGAGGAATCATGCAATATCACTATTCACTGCTGTCCCAGTTATTATGTGCGTAACGGAATAAGCCGAGAGAATGCCAATGCTATGTCCTTCAAATTGAGCTCAGTTGCGTATGGTATAAGGATGACGTTGTTTTTCTGTGCATCATGTACAGAAGAGCGAGGTCTGCCATTAACTGCCCGAAGATGGACTTTATACAGACTTGATGGAGGTACGAATGCCGCCATGTGTCTACATTCCGCAGCTACTGGAATTTACCAATGACACGGAGACTGTCCTAGTCATCGCGCCCGAAAGATATAAGAGGTAAAGACTTGTCAGCCTCATGAAATCTAATTGTAGGTCCCTGGTAAAACACAGACAAACTATACTCCAGTCTACAAAACAATTTTCGCCGCCGGAGTACACGTACACACCATCCCAGTCTTTATATGAGTCCCATGTAATCCGTAACATGCTGATGTCGACATAACGGCCGGGGAACTTGTAAACGCCTCACGATATGTTACACGCCCTCACACATCGCCAAACACTTTCCGTAGTTATCAAAATTATTGTAGTTGCCCCTGCAGCCACTGTAGATGAAGATGTCGCAAGATTTGGTGAAAGAGTTGTAGAAGTACCTCGGGATAGACTTCCTGCACGACCCGGGATCCTGGGGCAGTCGGCATATTTGTCTCCTGCCTGCAACAGTCAACCAGTGAGTTATACCTGCCTATAAGTCAGTGAGTTATACCTGGCTATAACTCAGTGAGTTATACCTGCCTACAACATTCAACCAGTGAGTTATACCTGTCCACAACATTCAACCAGTGAGTTATACCTGCCTACAACAGTCAACCAGTGAGTTATACCTGCCTACAACATTCAACCAGCGAGTTATACCTGCCTACAACATTCAACCAGTGAGTTATACCTGTCTACAACATTCAACCAGTGAGTTATACCTGCCTACAACATTCAACCAGTGAGTTATACCTGCCTACAACATTCAACCAGTGAGTTATACCTGTCCACAACATTCAACATGTGAGTTATACCTGCCTACAACATTCAACCAGTGAGTAATACCTGCCTACAACATACAAGCAGTGAGTTATACCTGCCTACAACATTTAACATGTGAGTTATACCTGTCTACAACATTCAACATGTGAGTTATACCTGCCTACAACATTCAACCAGTGAGTAATACCTGCCTACAACATACAAGCAGTGAGTTATACCTGCCTACAACATTCAACCTGTGAGTTATACCTGTCCACAACATTCAACCAGTGAGTTATACCTGCCTACAACATTCAACCAGTGAGTTATACCTGCCTACAACATTCAACCAGTGAGTTATACCTGTCCACAACATTCAGCCAGTTAGTTATCCCCGCCTACAACATTCAACATGTGAGTTATACCTGCCTACAACATTCAACCAGTGAATTATACCTGCCTACAACATTCAGCCAGTGAGTTATACCTGCCTACAACATACAACCAGTGAGTTATACCTGCCTACAACATTCAACCAGTGAGTTATACCTGCCTACAACATTCAACCAGTGAATTATACCTGCCTACAACATTCAGCCAGTGTGTTATACCTGCCTACAACATACAACCAGTGAGTTATACCTGCCTACAACATTCAACATGTGAGTTATACCTGCCTACAACAGTCAACCAGTGAATTATACCTGCCTACAACATTCAGCCAGTGAGTTATACCTGCCTACAACATACAACCAGTGAGTTATACCTGCCTACAACATTCAACCAGTGAGTTATACCTGCCTACAACATTCAACCAGTGAGTTATACCTGTCCACAACATTCAGCCAGTTAGTTATCCCCGCCTACAACATTCAACATGTGAGTTATACCTGCCTACAACATTCAACCAGTGAGTTATACCTGCCTACAACAATCAACCGGTGAGTTATACCTGCCTACAACATTCAACCAGTGAGTTATACCTGCCTACAACATACAACCAGTGAGTCATACCTGCCTACAACATTCAACCAGTGTGTTATACCTGTCCACAATATTCAGCCAGTTAGTTATCCCCGCCTACAACATTCAACCAGTGAGTTATACCTGCCTACAACATTCAACCAGTGAGTTATACCAGTCAACAACATTCAACCTGTGAGTTATACCTGCCTACAACATTCAACCAGTGAGTTATACCTGTCCACAACATTCAACCAGTGAGTTATACCCGCCTACAACATTCAACCAGTGAATTATACCTGCCTACAGCATTCAGCCAGTGAGTTATACCTGCCTACAACATACAACCAGTGAGTTATACCTGCCTACAACATTCAACCAGTGAGTTATACCTGTCCACAACATTCAACCTGTGAGCTATACCTGCCTACAACATTCAACCAGTGAGTTATACCTGTCCACAACATTCAGCCAGTGAGTTATACCTGTCTACAACATACAACCAGTGAGTTATACCTGCTTACAACATTCAAACAGTGAGTTATACCTGCCTACAACAATCAACCGGTGAGTTATACCTGCCTACAACATTCAACCAGTGAGTTATACCTGCCTACAACATTTAACGAGTGAGTTATACCTGCCTACAACATTCAACCAGTGAGTTATACCCGCTACAGTCAACCAGTGTGTAATACCTGCCTACAACATTCAACCAGTGAGTTATACCTGCCTACAACAGTCACCCAGTGAGTTATACCTGCCTACAAGATTCAACCAGTGTGTTATACCTGCCTACAACAGTCAACCAGTGAGTTATACCTGCTACAGTCAACCAGTGAGTTATACCTGCATACAACATACAACCAGTGAGTTATACCTGCCTACAAGATTCAACCAGTGTGTTATACCTGCCTACAACAGTCAACCTGTGAGTTATATCTGCTACAGTCAACCAGTGAGTTATACCTGCTTACAACATACAAGCAGTGAGTTATACCTGCTTACAACAGTGAACCAGTGAGTAATACCTGCTACAGTCAACCAGTGAGTTAAACCTGCCTACAACATTCAACCAGTGAGTTATACCTGCCTACAACATACAACCAGTGAGTTATACCTGCCTACACCATTCAACCAGTGAGTTATACCCGCTACAGTCAACCAGTGTGTAATACCTGCCTACAACATTCAACCAGTGAGTTTTACCTGCCTACAACAGTCACCCAGTGAGTTATACCTGCCTACAAGATTCAACCAGTGTGTTATACCTGCCTACAACAGTCAACTAGTGAGTTATACCTGCTACAGTCAACCAGTGAGTTATACCTGCTTACAACAGTCAACCAGTGAGTAATACCTGCTACAGTCAACCAGTGAGTTAAACCTGCCTACAACATTCAACCAGTGAGTTATACCTGCCTACAACATACAACCAGTGAGGTATACCTGCCTACACCATTCAACCAGTGAGTTATACCTGCCTACAACATTCAACCAGTGAGTTATACCCGCTACAGTCAACCAGTGTGTAATACCTGCCTACAACATTCAACCAGTGTGTTATACCTGCCTACAACAGTCAACTAGTGAGTTATACCTGCTACAGTCAACCAGTGAGTTGTACCTGCTTACAACAGTCAACCAGTGAGTAATACCTGCTACAGTCAACCAGTGAGTTAAACCTGCCTACAACAGTCAACCAGTGAGTTGTACCTGCTACAGTGAACCAGAGAGTTATACCTGCCTACAACATTCACCAGTGAGTTATACCTGCCTACAACATTCAACCAGTGAGTTATACCTGCCTACAACAGTCAACCAGTGAGTTATACATGCTACAGTCAACCAGTGTGTTATACCTGCCTACAACAGTCAACTAGTGAGTTATACCTGCTACAGTCAACCAGTGAGTTATACCTGCCTACAACAGTCACCCAGTGAGTTATACCTGCTACAGTCAACCAGTGAGTTATACCTGCCTACAACAGTCAACCAGTGAGTAATACCTGCTACAGTCAACCAGTGATGTTAAACCTGCCTACAACAGTCAACCAGTGAGTTATACCTGCCTACAACAGTCAACCAGTGAGTTAAACCTGCCTACACCCGTCAACCAGTCAGGTAGACCTGCCTTCAGCATTGACCTGGGCGGTATAGGTGTACCATTATTTGAACATACTCTCCTATAAAGGTCATATGTATTTAGCTGTCCCCTTGTTTACTACAACTACAACTGTTAGAATATCGACATAGCTGTAATAATGTCGATATATCTGTCATCTTTATCAACACAGCTTTCCTAACGCTCCATGTAGCTGTCTCATTGCTCCATGTAGCTATACTATTGTTGGACACAGTTGTCATTTTTTCCACAGTTCAAAGTTCTGCCACTCACTAGATATGTTAGTTATTTCAATTATCGTGGAGATCATTTAAAACATATTTTTATTGGAATACAGAAGAGGTATGATATGTTCAAAATTATGGAATAGGTATGATATGTTCAAAATTATGGAATAGGTATGATATGTTCAATAATACAGAAGAGGTATGACATGTTCAATACTATCAAATAGGTATGATATGTTCAAAATTATGGAATAGGTATGATATGTTCAATAATACAGAAGAGGTATGATATGTTCAATACTATCAAATAGGTATGATATGTTCAAAATTATGGAATAGGTATGATATGTTCAACAATATAGAAGGGGTATGATATGTTCAATACTATGAAATAGGTTTGATATGTTCAAAATTATGGAATAGGTATGATATGTTCAATAATATAGAAGAGGTATGATATGTTCAATACTATCAAATAGGTATGATATGTTCAATATTATGGAATAGGTGTGATATGTTCAATAATACAGAATAGGCATGACATGCTCAATACTATGGAATAGGTATGATATGTTCAATACTATGGAATAGGTATGATATATTCAATAATACAATTCTTACGTGATAGGTTTTTGAACTGCCCATGTGCGTGCTGTATCAATATGAGAAAAATCACAAGCATGCTTAAGAAGTGCGACATCTTTTGCGTGGCTATTTCTACCTGAAAGATAAAATTGAAAGAGGTATATAATTTAGTTAAGTATAATGATAATAATGAGTATAATCATAACAATAGGACAGCATAATGACGAGAAACAACTTTGTTAAGCAATAGCTTTGTACTGTGTTAGCGAGGTCTTACTTTGTACTTTGATAGTGAGGTCGTACTTCGTTATGCAATCGAGAGGTCACACTTCGTACTGTGATAGCGATGCCATACTTCGTACTGTGATAGCGATGCCATACATCGTACTGTGATAGTGAGGTCGTACTTCGTTATGCAATCGAGAGGTCACACTTCGTACTGTGATAGCGATGCCATACTTCGTACTGTGATAGTGAGGTCATACATCGTACTGTGATAGTGAGGTCATACATCGTACTGTGATAGCGATGCCATACTTCGTACTGTGATAGTGAGGCCATACTTCGTACTGTGATAGTGAGGCCATACTTCGTACTGTGATAGTGAGGTCATACATCGTACTGTGATAGTGAGGTCATACTTCGTACTGTGATAGTGAGGTCATTCTTCATACAAGGATAGTGAGGTCATTCTTCATACTGCGAAAGTGAGGTCATACTTCGTACTGCGATAATGAAGGCATACTGAGTACTGTGAATAGTGAGGTCATACTTCATACTGTGAATAGTGAGGTCATACTTCCTACTGTGACACACACACACACACACACACACACACACACACACACACACACACACACACATACATACATACGGTTGCTAATGACCTGTAGCCGAATATATTATGTATTGTTATAACCATGCATGCATTATAAAAAAACCCGGCCTACAGATCACCAGCGACCAGGGATAGGCAACGCTATTAGGGACCATGGGGATTGACAGTACCTCTGCTACCTGCAGGGTACCCTAGCAGGATTTACGCCATTCCTCTGGCTACTGGCGATTGTAAGACAGTTAAGTCGACAAACAAAATTTACGTGTATACTACGATGAAAACTATGGAAGGAATATAAATATACTTCTTTGAAAGATGATGTCTTAGGTGATTGGTCCTTGTTCAGTAAACAGCATTTAGTTCCCTCCATTGATATGGGATATCGACCCGAACGCCTGTTCGTGTCGTATAACACAACGACCTTGTCATGTACGTGTCGTATTCACATTTGATATGATCATCATATTCCATAGCGTATGCATTTCTCAAAACAGTGTGGATCAATGATGTTGACAATGAATTTTGTGAACAATTCAGTAACTTAATGTTACGTACCTTGCAGTGCGGTAAGGGTGTTACGAGTCAATTAGTGTGTCTCATAAAATCCATAGATTGATTAAAAAAATGTTTCCAATCTCATAATGTTAATACTTGTTTTAAGGCACGTAACGAATGGAAGTGGGTGTCGAGAAGTTTTCCGGACGTGTTTATATGTGACTCTGACATGTCACAGATGTGTGGGCGTGGCGTCACAGCGCGGCGACATGTGTTCCTTCAGATCCAGCGAATGCTTTCTGAATGTCCGTCAACCTTCATTATTCACACATTAGGAACACAGAAAATATTCATAAGCGCCGCGGAGAACGGGTAAAAATAGATCCCCAGCAAACTACTGGTCGTGTGTAAAAGCGACTAAATTGCACTACGTCGCGAGGCTCGGTGACGTAATTGTGTGGCATCGTACCCCATGACGTGGGACGGTGCTCATAATATCACTGGTTTGTCCTGATCATTTCCGGGCCTCCGCCATTTACCTGGAGTGAGTGAGTGAGTGAGTGAGTGAGTGAGTGAGTGAGGTTTTACGCCGCTTTTAGCAATATTCCAGCAATATCACGGCGGGGGATACCAGAAATGGGCTTCACACATTGCACCCATGTCGGGAATCGAACCCGGGTCTTCGGCGTGACGAGCGAGCGCTTTAACCACTAGGCTTCCCGACCTCCCCTCATAACTATACCTTGAACATTGACAACAAACAAATCAATAAATGGAGGCATGGATTTTGTGGTTGCTATTACTCTTGTATATTTTATGTAAAATATCCAATTGTGTTGCATTGCCCACGCCCTTCTGTATGACCTTTACCTGCCTATGTTCTTACTGTAACTGAGCGCGTCCTGTTGTGTACTTATTGTTTATTTGCGAGTCCGTCGAGGCCGGTTTTCTGGTACACATTTGTTAATACACGACCTTGTATCATCGATATGATTTCTTTCTCACAGAAACGTCAACAGTACGAAGGAAAAGTCGTTGTGGAAATTTTGGTCGATAATCAATGTGACCTCATCAACAGCTGTAGGCTGACAACTGTATACATGTATGCCCAATAGTGCATGATAGTACATACACTTTTAAAGCTATTACATTGTAAGCTGTTACTCGGGTCACTCCAATACGTTATCGCGGCTAGGATTGGGGGAATCAATTTTGTAATTTGATTCACTAGTATCACTAGTTCACGTGACTATCACATTACACGTCACACTGACGGCCCTTCAATAAATGATGCTCGAGTTTACGTTTTATTTTGTACAACCATGAAAAAGAAAAACTTTGCTCAAAATAAGCTGAAATGTTCTTCGAACAATACTAAAACAGTATGCGATTCAGATGATCAATCTGTATGTTCGGGCCCTATCTGTTTATTCCGTAACCTAACAATACGAGAAATAGTGATATTTCATGAATTCACTGTAAACCGTTTACCAATAGATCCCGCCGCATATAGTTCGTACACGATGACAGCCGATTTTGAGAAATGCTTCAAGAGGTACTTATCAATAATTTATTTTATAAATCATATTTCTATTTTTCTGTTATTATTGAACCACGAGGTCAGCCAACCAGTCGCAACATTTGAACGCTTGTTTTGTTTCAGGCGAACAATTGAACTGACTTGCCTTTGCATGTGTTTATGACGGGTGCCACCGGTGGGGCAGTTACGCTCACCTGGTATCATCACTATTTGATAGTGATTCATAAACACATGCTCATGAAATAGTTCAAGACTCTCCTTTTAGTTCATATTTCATATGATCATGTTCGTAAATGTTTTGTGTCGCTTTTATTTACCTTGATAACAATAGAAATATGGTCTTGACCACTCATTGACAAATACCTCTTTTGAATTGTCTTATTTCAGTTTGAATTAAAAGTGTAAAGGATTTTGTCTGGACCAAAGGATCTGCACAATATAAGAAACATGCCAACCATTCGTATGAACGAGTTTGTTGATTTTCTGCATGCTCTTGACGTATTCCAACTCCAAATGTCTTTTATGAACTAATGCTGAAATGTGAGAAAGTTCCCATTTTGAACTTTTAAAAGTTACACAAATTCACATATTTCCAGTGTAAGTAAATATTGCTGCAATATTCGGCTAATTGCTCTTCTAGTGAGTGAGTTGGGTTTAACCCCGCGTTTAACAGTATTCCAGTTACATCACGGCGTGTCAGCTTAATGTGGGAGGAAAGCCCGAAGTGACGCAGGTCTTAGACGTTTACCACTTCGGTGAAACCCACGAGCACGGGTATGGTGCTCACAAACCTAGAAACATAATCGGGGCGAACTGGGATTCGAACCCACAATCTGGCGCAACCAAGGGACGCAACTCTGCACAGCAAATCGCGGCGCCTTAGACTGGGCCACCGTGCCCCCTAATTACTCTTCTGAATGGCTCAAATGCAGCATAACAACACTGTCTTTGAGAAGGTGTCTGTAGGGTATGTACAAAATAGTCAGAACGCGATGATTAGCTAATAGTTGATAATTTTTCTGTTGAATTATTGCTGTCACTGACATAAAGACATTAAATGTGAGATGGTTTCACGCCGCTTTAAGCAATATTCCAGCAGTGTCACGCGGAGCATAACAGAAGCGGGCTTCACATATTGTACCCGTGTGGGCAATCGAACCTGGGCAGAGCGCACGCTTTAACCACTAGGCTACCCCTCCGATCGAAAGTTAATATAGACGAGAGACTAATTTCCCAGGTTGATTGGACCATGGCCACATAACGCATAACATTCTTTCATTTCAGCGATCTCAAGAAAATTGATCGAACATTGCTTTATTTCACTGAATTATATGAATAAAGGTACATTTGAAAGAAAAGATTAATCCAAATTCAGTTTTCTGACCGAACATTCACTTTAAAGGATTCTGTTAGAAAGGTATTATGATAAAATATTTGTCTGTTTCTGTTTGAGGATATCCTAGAATGTTATATGTAATAAATTGCACACGCAAATAATAATACATATATCGTATTGTACTTTGTTTGGAATCGAACCCGGCCATCAGCGTGGCGAGCGAAGGCGTTAACCAATAGCCTATCCCATACCACTAAACAACTGAGGAGGCCAGGTAAGAAAATAATATCAATAATTGTAATGTCATTGGTTCTATCATTTTATTTCGAAAATATTCATATTTCAGCCTGTTAAAAAAGGTATACAAAACATAGAACATTGTCTCAAAGTGGCTTAGATACAATATGGCCTTCACTAAAGCATTGACGGAGAGCATATCATCGTTGAGACGACCCACCCGTTCGGATGAGGGTTATCTCCCTTGACCCCCCTACAATGACAGCGTCTACTTCCGCCGTAGTTAGCCACGTCCCCCGGCTCCGCTCCCGCAGGTCCGTCTGCACTGGTTGAGGGTGGTGAAACGGTTGCTGTTACCGCCGCAACCGCTATAGGAGAAACGCTGACAGCCTCCCAGCTGCTCATCGTAGTAGTAGCGGGTGTACATGTTGCTGTTGCAGTTGCCGGGGTCCGGGTTCAGATGGCAAACTGGAGACAGAGGTTGTTAAATAGAGTTGTTTCTAACGTGTGACATCAATCACTTGAGTAATACTAGCTTGGTGATTAGCGTGTGAGTGAGTTGAGTGTAACGCCGTTTTTGACGGTGTTTCTTCAGTTGTATCAGGACAAGTTTGTGTGGGAGAAAATCCCGAAGTGCCGCATGACGTAATCCCAACAATGAGATCATGTTACCTTGAGGTTTCATCCATGTTCGTGAATTTCACTCATTATTTTCTGAGTTACCACAACGGCCATTCGACAAGCCATGCTTGCCGTAAAAGGCGACTATGCTTGTCGTGAGAGCATCTAACGGGATCGGCTGGTCAGGCTCGCTGACTTGCTTGATGCATGTCATCGATCCCAATTGCGTGGATCGATGCTCATGTTGTCAATCACTGGACTGTCTGCTCTAGACTCGATTATTTACAGACCGCCGTCATATAGCTGGAATATTGCTGCGTGCGGCGTTAAACAACCAACCAACCAACCAACCAACCAACCAACTGTCGTACTGAACAAAATCGCCTCTGGAACATCAACAAAAACATCATACAACAATCACATTCACTGAAACTGTGGGCATTAATAGATGCACATCTCTACCATGTTGACAATATTGCCCACAACAACTTACTTTTACTTTCAACGGCCAGATTGCTGCTTCTTCCAAACGAGCTCCGACCTCCACCAAGTTCATGGGGGTGCCCACCACGCCCAGCAGCGTGTCCATTCAGTCCACCCAAATGACCTCCGCCCAGTTCATGGGGGTGTCCACCAACTACACCCAGTCCATGAACGTGTCCACCCGGTCCATGAACGCGCCCACCTAGTCCATTAAGTCCGTGTTCATGTCCACCCGGTCCATGAACGTGCCCAACCGGTCCATTAATTTGTCCATTAAGTCCGTGTTCATGTCCACCCGGCCCATGAACGTGCCCACCCAGTCCATTAATTTGTCCATTAAGTCCATGTCCACCCGGTCCATGAACGTGCCCACCCGGTCCATGAACGTGCCCACCCAGTCCATTGATTTGTCCACCCAACCCATCGACATGTGCACCCAGTCCATGGACATGTCCATCCAATCTACTATTCAGCCCACCACCCAATCCACCTGTGAGACCATCAATGATAGCACCACCGAGTCCACCTTGAAGTCCGCCATTGAGACCGCCATTTATACCGCCACGTGGCACACAGTAGGCCGTCCATTGGTCCACATACTCGCACACGGTCCGACGGGGGCATTGCTGCAATAACATAGGTATCTTATTCCACTGTCTAGCCTCGGCATAGTGGTGAAAATTATTTTGAGCGCACTATCGTTTTAAAAAATTATATGACTTTTGTCTGCCATAAGACGAGGGACAATGACGTAAAAATGCATAAAAATCAGAGATCATATACCGATCTGTATATGGTCTCTGAATAAATTAATTTTAGGGACTACTTGATATATAACATGTATAAACATTGATGAGCTATCAAGGCAGCTTTGCGTAGGTATATCCCTCTCTCAAACGCAGAACTGCCACGATATGTTACAATATTGTACTTTATAGCTAAAATGGATAGAATTATCATAAAAACGCCCGCATGTTATCAGAAATGAGCGGGCCACTGTAACTTGATAATGCCCTCATATTACTTGACGACGGGCCATTATCACGCCCGTTGTTAGGTGACGTCATAGGATAGGTGACGTAACGTTCAATAGTGACGTCATCTCGTTTGTTCTATGACGTTTCCATATTTGTAAAAGTGGGTCAGTGACATTCGTGTTGATTGCAGTAAATGTTTCAAAATCGACATTGTTTCTATTTATTTGATAACAAATTCCATCCATTTTAGCTATAATAACGGTAACGCTATTTTTCAGGGCATTATCATTTGCTGAAGCCCTCGGTCTTTTCAACTACCCTCCTTCGTCGGGCAGTTAATCGAAGACCTCGGGCTTCTGCAAATGATAATGCCCTGAAAAATAGCGTTACCCTTATATTATAGCTAAAATGGATAGAATTATCAGCCAACCGCCCGCATGTTATCAAGAGTCAGCGGGCCACTGTAACTTGATAATGCCCTCATATGGCTTGACGACGGGCCAATATCACGCCCGTAGTTAGGTGACGTCATAGGATAGGCATAGGTGACGTCACGTTCAATCGTGACGTCATCTGGTTTGTTCTATGACGTTTCCATATTTGTAAAAGTGGGTCAGTGACATTTATGTTGATTGCAGTAAATGTTTCAAAACCGATATTGTTGTTTATCATATAATGGGTAGGTTTCTCGGGAGGATAAAGCCAACGGATAAAAACGATATCCGTTGGGGTCATATGCGGATAGAGATGCAAATATCAAAGGTCAAGTAGAACGGGGGTGCGTTGCAAAGCGCCAATCGCTTGTAAGCGATGTACAGCGATTCGCCTCACAACAGTGCGCTAACTTTCAGCCGCTTGCAAGCGAAACAATCGCTGACTGAGGTCGCCTCGTTCTCAAACCAAAATGGCGGATTACTTTGACAGCGGAACAAGGAATTATTGATTGGATCAACGAGAAAATTAGCAAAGGCAGCTAACACACCATCATCCTCAGTCTGCTCCACATCTTCAAAGTAGTCATAAATTTCATCAGCTCGTCATCTAGCCTCTTCTATTATGATCTTCATAACGTCTAGTTGCGCCGCCATTTTGGAAGAGTGCGCAAGCGCTTCCAACTGTTGCAGACCCCGGGATGAGCGATTACTTTGCTTTCTCTTAGCGATTCGTGGCTTGCAACGCGCCCCTACTTTCACTGTTTATAAACAAACATGGCGTCGCCCTCGTCATTCGGCGATCGAGGCAGAATTAACCATCGGGAATCTGGATAAAGTACAGGGGTAATTGCTATCATTATCAAAAGAGCAGTCTAATATACTGAAAATCAGTGTCTAACTGTGACGTAGCTAAGGCATTTTATAAGTTTTGGCAACTTTGGAGATATAAATTACGAAACAATTTTGCGAGGGCACGAGGCCTAGCCAAGCGGGATCAGTAGCCATATCTGTGCTTGTAGACCTTTGCGGCTTAAAACCTTCTCTTAAATGTAAATAGTTGGATTTTGCCGAAATATGTTTGAATTGTTACCTTGTTTCGTTTTGTCGCTGTGTGTACATCTGACTACACTTCTTAACATTATGACAGGGAAGACCGACTTACAACAACGTCTGACCGTAGCCGTGACATCTCATATACTAGGGTTAGAGTAGCTTCCCTTTGACAAAGGGCAGTTACTCTAGCGGACAGACCGATGGATTGCCGCGAAAGGCAATTAAAAACAACTGTTGTTTTGCGTATATGTTGCTTCGCCACTGTATAAGAAACAGATTTCAGTTGGAACTATATTGGCTACTGTCACTGTCCGACTGACACATCACTTACCCTGTGACGTAATAAATATTAATCCGCGCATTCCAGGAAAACTCCCAATGTTTCAGTAATGTTTGTGAGAGAGGGAAAGCGATTTTAAAGCACAAAAATTAAAGAATGACATTATATGATAAAGAGGTTATCACGCTTGTGTGTTTGGGGATGGTAAATATCCTGTATTAGGAATAAGCACTATGTATTTAGCTCGCCAAGGCTCGCTAAATACAATGTTTATTCCTAATGCAGGATATTTACCATCCCCAAACACACTCGCGTGACAACCTCTATATCTTTTTATTTGATACAAATTTCCATCCATTTTAGCTATAATAACGGTAACGCTATTTTCAGGACATTATCATTTGCAGAAGCCCTCGTTCTTCTCAACTGCCCTCCTTCGTCGGGCAGTTAATGGAAGACCTCGGGCTTCTGCAAATGATAATGCCCTGAAAAATAGCGTTACCCTTATACGGACTGAAGTAGAGACACTAGACATAAATCTCTACTTTCAGAAATGACATCCGGCTTTCTCATTTAAAAAAAAGATAACTCATTGATTCGGGCAATCATACCGGTTTGAATAACTATAATTTATAAGTTTATATAAGTTTATATAAGTTTAAATAAGTTTATATAAGTTTCCGACAGCTCCAGGTCTGTTTCGGTGGAGCTTACATGTTCTCGTCATTGGAACGAGTAGATAAGTTGGAACTATCATTGGTGTGCATCTTATAAGTGGGTCTTCCTGGCTGTGGGCACGCCAGAAACCTATGATTGTGGGTTCGAATCCCGGTTCGACCCAATTATGTTTCTAGGTTTGTGAGCACCATACCCGTGCTCGTTGGTTTCACCGAAGTGGTAAACGTCTGAGACCTGCATCACTTCGGGCTTTCCTTCCACATTAAGCTGACACGCCGTGATAAAACTCGAATGCTGTTAAAAGCGGCGTTAAGCCCAACTCACTCACTCACTCTTCCTGGCTGTCGAATGTTTTTACAGTAGTCTTGTGCGGCCTTGCAAGATAACAACCTCATCTTGTACATGTATGAGCGTGCGTGTCATGGTTGTAATTGGTACACGCACAACGGTGTCCATGACATCAAAGGAAGACGTAACGGTGATGGATCGTGACACTGACTACACCTGTACCCTCGGGGTCACTGACGCATTCACTTGCTATTTATAAAACATTTATTCTATGATGATCGATAGGTGTTTTTTGTTCTAAACGAGAAAAAAACCCGTCATAAAACTCGAAATCTAGGGCCAATATCTCCTTGAAAATAATATTATATATATATAATATCATCCATTTGTTCATTCACACAATTGAATGCATATTTTCTTCATAGTTCACTAAAGTTTTTTTTAAATTTCATTTTCTTGGAGTAAACTAATAATTTCTTCTCCGTCCTGCTCAATAAAGGCCTGACGTACGTAAAAAGATAGCCACACTCGAAGGTTTTACCCTTATTTGCTTAACTTACTATAAAAGTCCAGTTCCCCTTTTTCTGAGTAGTATAGTTTCAAACCGTGTATCGATTAGAGTACATACTATGTGGGCTTTATATATTTGAAAATTTAAATTGACCTGCTAGATGAAGCATTTTACTCTTTAACCATCTATTGCCATTCGTGTGCATTTATTTGACTTACAACAAATATCACAGACGTATTCAATTTTGGATTCACTTGGTGGAGAAAATGACCCGAAAACATTACTTTTTGTCTATCCTTGCATACTAATTGTAAGAGTGAGTAAGTGAGTGAGTGAGTACGGTTTTTACGCCGCTTTTAGCAATATTCCAGCAATATCACGGCGGGTGACACCAGAAATGGGCTTCACACATTGTACCCATGTCGGGAATCGAACCCGGGTCTTCGGCGTGACGAGCAAACGCTTTAACCACTAGGCTACCCGACCGCCCCTAATTAATTGTACTAATTGTAAGATTACCCATCAAGTTACAATGAGGATAAATAAATGACCATTTGTGTGACATACTTACTCTACAGTTCCTGACACGCCTTCTTCTGTTCGATATACCGCCTAATCCGCCCAAACCGCCACCCATCAACAAACGCCTGAGGGCGCGGGGGTTAAACTGCCCTAAACGGCTGATGAGGCCCATGATGTTGCCTCCGAAACCCCTCCCTCGGCCAAGCCTGCCGCCGATACCGCCGATACGGTTGATGCCACCATTACTGTGAATATTGCCGATGCCACCGATGCCTTTTTCTGGGACGGGTTCTGGAATTCCTATTCCTGCATACAAAGAGTCATGCATGATAAACGTGCTCGCAAAGCCTAACACATCACCACACCATCGCCAGCTCTTTTCCATTTTTAGCCACCATCGAGGGTGTATATTTCTTTTACCCGGCAGTTGGTACCAACTAATCTTACATTGCACGAACTGATAAAACCAAAACCAAAATGGTTCTTGCAACCATTCAGTCTGAGGAAAATATTTTCATTATTTCTACTTGTCTAATAGATAAAGCCAAAATACTCTAATTAACCATGGGTTGATTTTTTTATGTTGTTCCACAAAGCTATCTCGTGTCAACATAGACTTACGACTTACTCAGCGCTAAAAACTCTGATAAATCGTTCCACTTTCAAATGAACAACTAATACTTATTAAAAAACTGATTTCTTTCTTTACCCAGATTCCATATATCACATATCCAATCCAAATATGGGATTCACGTACCTGCTCCAATCGCATGGCCTGGCTCGGGAATGGCACCTGAATCATGACGTTTGAATTGTAAGGAGATATAAACAAACATTCATATCAGAGAACTTATATTGCTATTGTTAGTTAATCATCACGCTCGTGTCGTTTCTTTGTTTGAAATTAACATGTATTGTTTTGATATTTTAATTTTCATGATACATAAAAAACAAACTTACTTGTATTATTATGGAATTTACAATTAAATATATATTACCTGCCCCTATCCCATGCCCTGGCTCAGGGAGCGCCCCTACTCCAAATCCCGGCTCTGGGAGTACCCCTGTAAACAAATAAACAAACATATCATGATGCTTTTATGTCCAAGATAACTGTGACCCAGATATTCTGCCAAAATTATCATGTATGAAGATATAGTCCTCATTTTCAATGTACGATAATCAAGACCTCATATCATTAAAATACATGTAATGTCAACTATATGTTCAAATATATGTTTTATACTGCCCCGAAGACATAATGCGCGTAAAAATGATTATTTACCATGTAGGGAACCGAACAAATGTGGCAAATATCAAGCATTTTTACATTTACAGTAGCTTGACGTAAACTGCCAGGCAACATCAAGTATATACTTGAAAAATGTATTTGACAAACGATTACAAACGTCATCGAAACATTAAACATCACCAACCATTTCTTGTCTGTTCATTTTTACTTTAATATTAACTTTATTAACAACAGATTCATTTGTCTCTGTTGTTCCACAAAGTCATCTTACGTCAAGATAGATTTGCGTCGGTCTTAGGGCTGAAATAGTTTTGTGGAATGGGCCTCTAAGCATTTGTTCTACTTTTAAAGGAACAACTAAAACTTTATTAAAAAACTTATTTCTTTCTTTACCCAGATTCCATATATCACATATCTAATCCAAAGATGAGACTCACGTACCTGCTCCAATCCTATGGCCTGGCTCGGGAATGGCACCTGAATCAGGCATTAAATTGTAAGGAGATATAAACAAAAGCAATTGAAAAAAACAACTTTTTCTAATAACAGGGAACTTAAACAGCCATTGTTAGTAAACCATCATGACTATGCCTTTTCTTAGTTTAAAAATTAACATGTCTTATTTAGAAATCTTAATGTTCATGATACATAACACAAAATCCAAATTTACTTGTATTATTATGGAATTTTCAAAATATATATTACCTGCCCCTATCCCATGCCCTGGCTCAGGGAGCGCCCCTACTCCAAATCCCGGCTCTGGGAGTACCCCTGTAAACAAATAAACAAACATATCATGATGCTTTTATGTCCAAGATAACTGTGACCCAGATATTCTGCCAAAATTATCATGTATGAAGATATAGTCCTCATTTTCAATGTACGATAATCAAGACCTCATATCATTAAAATACATGTAATGTCGACTATATGTTCAAATATATGTTATATACTGCCCCGAAGACATAACGCGCATAAAACTGGTTATTTACCATGAAGGGAACCGAACAAATGTGGCAAATATCAGGCATTATATATTTACATGACTTGACGTAAACTGCCAGGCAACATCAAGTATATACTTGAAAAATGTATTTGACAAACGATTACAAATGTCATCGAAACATTAAACATCACCAACCATTTCTTGTTTGTTTCATTTTTACTTTAACATTTACTTTATAAACAATAGGTTCATTTATCTGTTGTTCCTCAAAGTCTTCTTACGTCAAGGTAGACTTGCACCGGTCTTAGGGCTAAAATAGTTTTGTGGAATGGGCCTCTAAGCATTTGTTCTATTCTTAAATGAATAACTAATATTTCATTTAAAAACTTATTTCTTTCTTTACCCAGATTCCACATATCACATATCCAATCCAAAGATGAGACTCACGTACCTGCTCCAATCCTATGGCCTGGCTCTGGAATGGCACCTGAATCATGACGTTTGAATTGTGAGGACATACATGGGAATTGGGGAATTCTTATGAAACGACACTGAAACGAAACAAATTTCACAATACTTCTAGACATAACCTCAACAAACGCACATTTTCAATAACAGATATTGTCGCCAAAATAAGATTGTTCACAGCTAACCGACTTTCATTCTTCTGTCAAATTAACTAAAACGGACACATATTTTGGACATCTCAACAAAAATATGAGCGCTTTATGATATTTTTATTTATTCATTTACACTTCATTAGCTATACATGAGTGTTTATTTGACTCTTCTTATGAAATCCTACTATCTACTTTACATAAAGGTTCATGTAGTTCCATTACCTGGTCCTATTCCATGTGTGATGTGTATACCTGGAAACAAAAAGATAATGTTTATAATAAATATGTAAACCTGTAAATACCAAGCCCATTGACAGAGAAAAATATCATATTGTCAACCACATCATGATTCCAACTTTGTTACCAAAGCCCAAATATTGCACTATTACCATTTTAACAATAGGTACCACAGTTTCCACATGGAAAATCGGCTTTTAGAAAAAGGACCAATTTACATACCTATTATACAATAAACGAGGATATATTTGTTATTATAAGGGTAACGCTATTTTTCAGGGCATTATCATTTGCAGAAGCCCGAGGTTTTCCATTAACTGACCGACGAAGGAGGGCAGTTGAAAAGACCGAGGGCTTCTGCAAATGATAATGCCCTGAAAAAGAGCGTTACCGTCATTATAGCTAAAACGGATGGAATTTGTTATCGAATAAAAAGAAACAACATCGGTTTTGAAACATTTACTGCAAGCAACACGAATGTCACTGACCACATTTTACAAATATGGAAACGTCATAGAACAAACCAGATGACGTCACTCTAATACGTGACGTCATTTTCTCTACCCTATGACGTCACCGAACAACGGGCTTGATAATGGCCCGTCGTCAAGCAATATGAGGGCATTATCAAGTTACAGTGGCCCGCTCATTTCTGATAACGTGCGGGCGGTTTGATGATAATTCTATCCATTTTAGCTATAAAGCCTATTAAATAGGGGGAAGGGGTACTGTACCTGACACGGCACCTGGTTCCGGCACTGGAATTGCACCAAACCCCCAAACTGAAAAAGAATAACATATGATTTCAAGAAATTAAAAACAAGAGACGTGTCGATATGATTGAACTTATGATTATTTTCTGAAACCAGTCGTTTTGCAACTATATAATCTCGAACTTAAATCTGGGCCAGAAGAAACTGACGTTGATATTATCAGCAACGTCCCACGCCATAGGGATACGATGACACACAGTCAACCAAGACACCAAGCCTAAACAACAATCTCATTAAAATCAGATCTCAGTGCTAACTACCACTACACAAAGATCCGAGGACACTCCATTACAGGTCGCTTACCAGATCGAGAAAGCGAAAGTACGAATTTGTTTTCTTCTTAAGCACACTCGAAAAGGTCAGCACAGGGCATTCCGTACGACGCTTACGTGCTGTGTGACTGACTCCGTCAAAATCATCGTTAATCTCTCGCTTCAATAGGATGAACATTTGAAAGATTTTCCATAGCGCTCGTGAAGTACTGTCATAAAATTTCAAATTTTGAACAGAGAACTTTGTTAAAATTTTCAAAGCGTAGTCTTGAATGAAAGTCGCCAGTTGTAACTGGTACCGTACAGCTGATTTTCTAATGGCGATTTCCTGGAATTCAGTGCTTCCGTTTTACTTACAGTTACTGAATCGTATTTTACGTTTTACTTACTGCTGATGAATCGTATTTTGCCTTTTATTTACTGCTGCTGAATGTTACTTTGCCTTTAATTAACTGCTGCTGAATGTTATTTCAGAGACATGGTGAGACATAAATATTATCACGCGATTTACATATATTTATCCCACACAACGGTTGGAGGAGTTGAAAATGTGTTTGCAAACATGGTGTATAACATGACATAAAAGGCGTTCATTGTAATAAGAATCATATATTTATTGTTATAAAAACTTAAGTAATTCAAGATACGAATACAATCCAGTATGGAACAATGCCGTTTGAAGAATTACATTAAAGTTAAAACACAAAGAAGAATATTCACCTGTGGTAAAAGAAAGAATAAATACTGTAAGTGCCTCCATGTCAACGGTCCAAGCTTAATAGTGTGAATGGTGTATGTAGTAGCCCTATATAGAAGCGTGCATGCGGGCCTGGTGACACAGTGATATTGATGGCCATATAATGCTTCAGTCACTGTCGCCCTCAAGGCATTCACGTCTCTGTTATTGATGTCTCCGTCTACGTCAACTATGCAATTACACAATGAAGTACTGATGAGTGTCTATATTTTGACACATTGTCTTCTGTATTGTCTCAACCGAGCTTACTCTTTGTGTACTCTTCCGTCTGACCCGGCCACCGAGTCAACACATCAAACTAACCTCTTATTTTTTTAGATAATTTGTCATCTGTGCATCTCATGCAGATTAAATTTATCATTTTGTTTCAACGAAACAGATTTCAAGGTCACTACGATCTACCAGCTCCCATGATGAAAGGACACGTTGTCACTATGTTTGAGGTATTTCTTGCTTACTCAATAGCAGGTACGTTGTTATGGCTGTTCAACAATATCTACTTATCATTATTCCAACCTAAGCTAGATTTGTTTTTGATTTTAATTTCAAAGAGCGTTGTGGAACTCTACAGTTGTTTGACTAGGGTTACCACATTCAAAGCCTTTGTAAAGCTTTCAAAGGGTTTTATGATAGACATATGGAGGACATTTCCACATTTGGCGTATAGGTGACCAAAACGATGTCCGATGCAAGTACAGTAAACTACGGTTATAACGAACTCAAAGGGACCACTAATTTTAGTTCGTTATAACCGTAGTTCGTTATAAACAGATATACAGCATATATACAACAAAAGGCCGGGACTAAAAAATAAGTTCGTTATATCGGTCAGTTCATTATAAGCGTGTTCGTTATAACCGTAGTTTACTGTACCTATTTTGCTTTATTATTTACAGACCGCCGTCATATAGCTGGAATATTGCTGAGTGCGGCGTAAAACAACCAACCAACCAACCAACCAACCTCAACAAACGCACATTTTCAATAACAGATATTGTCGCCAAAATAAGATTGTTCACAGCTAAACGACTTCTTTCACCTGTCAAGATAACTAAAACGGACACATATTTTGGACATCTCAACAAAAATATGAGCGCTTAATGATATTCTTATTTATTCATTTACACTTCATTAGCTATACATGAGCAAATAAGGTACATGTAATTCCATTACCTGGTCCTATTCCATGTGTGACGTGTACACCTGGAGACAAAAAGATAATGTTTATAATAAATATGTAAACCTGTAAATACCAAGCCCATTGACAGAGCAAAATATCATATTGTCAACCACATCATGATTCCAACTTTGAATACCCCACTTAGACACAGTATACTGACTCCGAGCAGACCAGTCCTTGTTTTAGCCCCTTAATGCCGAGCGCCAGACAGGGTAACAACAAGTACCATCTTTTAACGTCTTTTGATATGACGCAGCCGGGGATCGAACCCCGGACCTTCCGCTCTCCTGGCGGCGGACGCTCTACCACTAGACCACGGAGGCGGTCCTATTATACAATAACCAAGGATATATTTGTAATAGCCTATTAGATGGGGGAAGGGGTACTGTACCTGGTTCCGGCACTGGAATTGCACCAAACCCCCAAACTGAAAAAGAATAACATATGATTTCAAGAAATTAAAAACAAGAGACGTGTCGATATGATTAAACTTATTATTATTGTCTGAAACCAGTCGTTTTGCAACTATATAACCTCGAACTTGGGTCAGAAAAAACTGACGTTGATATTATCAGCAACGTCCCACGCCATAGGGGTACGATGACACACAGTCAACCAAGACACCAAGCCTAAACAACAATCTCATTAAAATCAGATCTCAGTGCTAACTACCACTACACAAAGATCCGAGGACACTCCATTACAGGTCGCTTACCAGATCGAGAAAGCGAAAGTACGAATTTGTTTTCTTCTTAAGCACACTCGAAAAGGTCAGCACAGGGCATTCCGTACGACGCTTACGTGCTGTGTGACTGACTCCGTCAAAATCATCGTTAATCTCTCGCTTCAATAGGATGAACATTTGAAAGATTTTCCATAGCGCTCGTGAAGTACTGTCATATAATTTCAAATTTTGAATAGAAAACTTTGTTAAAATTTTCAAAGCGTAGTCTTGAATGAAAGTCGCCAGTTGTAACTGGTACCGTACAGCTGATTTTCTAATGGCGATTTCCTGGAATTCAGTGCTTCCGTTTTACTTACAGTTACTGAATCGTATTTTACGTTTTACTTACTGCTGATGAATCGTATTTTGCCTTTTATTTACTGCTGCTGAATGTTACTTTGCCTTTAATTAACTGCTGCTGAATGTTATTTCAGAGACATGGTGAGACATAAATATTATCACGCGATTTACATATATTTATCCCACACAACGGTTGGAGGAGTTGAAAATGTGTTTGCAAACATGGTGTATAACATGACATAAAAGGCGTTCATTGTAATAAGAATTATATATTTATTGTTATAAAAACTTAAGTAATTCAAGATACGAATACAATCCAGTATGGAACAATGCCGTTTGAAGAATTACATTAAAGTTAAAACACAAAGAAGAATATTCACCTGTGGTAAAAGAAAGAATAAATACTGTAAGTGCCTTCATGTCAACGGTCCAAGCTTAATACTGTGAATGGTGTATGTAGTAGCCCTATATAGAAGCGTGCATGCGGGCCTGGTGACACAGTGATATTGATGGCCATATAATGCTTCAGTCACTGTCGCCCTCAAGGCATTCACGTCTCTGTTATTGATGTCTCCGTCTACGTCAACTATGCAATTACACAATGAAGTACTGATGAGTGTCTATATTTTGACACATTGTCTTCTGTATTGTCTCAACCGAGCTTACTCTTTGTGTACTCTTCCGTCTGACCCGGACACCGAGTCAACACATCAAACTAACCTCTTATCTTTTAAGATAATTTGTCATCTGTGCATCTCATGCAGATTAAATTTATCATTTTGTTTCAACGAAACAGATTTCAAGGTCACTACGATCTACCAGCTTCTCATGATGAAAGGACACGTTGTCACTATGTTTGAGGTATTTCTTGCTTACTCAATAGCAGGTACGTTGTTATGGCTGTTCAACAATATCTACTTATCATTATTCCAACCTAAGCTAGATTTGTTTTTGATTTTAATTTCAAAGAGCGTTGTGGAACTCTACAGTTGTTTGACTAGGGTTACCACATTCAAAGCCTTTGTAAAGCTTTCAAAGGGTTTTATGATAGACATATGGAGGACATTTCCACATTTGGCGTATAGGTGACCAAAACGATGTCCGATGCAAGTACAGTAAACTACGGTTATAACGAACTCAAAGGGACCACTAATTTTAGTTCGTTATAACCGTAGTTCGTTATAAACAGATATACAGCATATATACAACAAAAGGCCGGGACTAAAAAATAAGTTCGTTATATCGGTCAGTTCGTTATAAGCGTGTTCGTTATAACCGTAGTTTACTGTACCTATTTTGCTGATATCCTTTTCACGAACACCTCATCATAAGAAAACACTTTAGCAGAGTTATTTACACGCTCCAATCCCGTGAGATTCCGGGGTAGAAGGGGTCCGAAGCAACCTGTACTGGTCGTATGGTATTCGATGATGATGTATTTGATTCGGATATCATACTTGTGGTTTGGACCTCATACGTTTGCAGTATTTCGCTGACTGTTTTCAGCCTAGTAACGTTTTTATAACGTTTGAATATTTTGGCTGAAATCTAATTTTCAAGCGTGAATATTTTTGTCCGGCAGTTTATAGAAAATTAACGGAAAGACAATTTTGATAACAAAAAGGGCTTTACAATCAAGGTTTCGCAATTGAAGCCTGGATAAGTCGTTCCGGGAATTTTATGGTAGAAATTAAGACCATATTCTTAACCGGATATGACGCGTCGCTTGCCTTCATGATCCAAAGCTTTGACCTGTACATGGAGTTTTCACCCCGCCTCAAAGTCATATGAAAATTGCGTGAGTGGTGAAATCTGTTTATTCGAGACTGGTTACTTTCTGGCTTTGTCGTTTTGAATAGCCCTTAACTATACATGTAGGTATAGCTATAATTAAAAAAGTTGTTTTTGAAGTAATCGTTTATGTTGAATTTCAATGGCCACATGCGAGTGTTTGAAGAAGTTTTATTCTGCTTTTAACACTATTCCAGCATTATCACAAAACACAAGGACAACGAAAGCTTTAACCACAACTCACTGCTTCGTTCGACCTGGTGAAAAGTAAAACTATATTAACAAGTTACAAAACAATGGAGGTCAAACGTGTCCTCAGTTATCACCATTAAGCGTCAATATATTCCGATTGTTATTACCTAGCCAGGTATGACTGGTGCTAATTGAGGAGTGTTAATGACGCCTTGTACGCTCAAATACCTGTTTAGATCAAAGCCTTTAAACGAAATAGACATCAACAAAGACTCTCATGACAGTTATTATGGAATGTAATAAATTATATTTGTGGCATGTGCCTCGGGCTGACCCACTCTTCCAGCCAATCATATTTATTCTTGAACGGATCCACCTGTAGTCGGTGGCTTATGATGATGACTTGAACACGTTATGCTGTAGATCAGGAAGGGAAATGAAAGTATTATTACGTTTAAATCTGTTATTGGTAGACAATGGAGTAAGTTTTCTTGCAAAATGGCATGGGTAAACTGTAACAGTTACATTACATGTAATGAAAATGCTGTATGGGGTGTCCTGGTTCCTGAGTACAGTCTTTGTCTTCTGCCGCCTGTGCCAAGTCTGTCTTCTGGTGCCTGAGTACAGTCTGTGTCTGCTGGTGCCTGAGTACAGTCTGTGTCTTCTGGTGCCTGTGTACAGTCTGTGTCTTCTGGTGCCTGAGTACAGTCTGTGTCTTGTGGTGCCTGAGTACAGTCTGTGTCTTCTGGTGCCCGAGTACAGTCTGTGTCTTCTGCTGCCTGTGTACAGTCTGTGTCTCCTGGTGCCTGAGTACAGTATGTGTCTTCTGGTGCCTGAGTACAGTCTGTGTCTTCTGCTGCCTGTGTACAGTCTGTGTCTTCTGGTGCCTGAGTACAGTCTGTGTCTTCTGGACCCTGAGTACAGTTTGTGTCTTCTGGTGTCTGAGTACAGTCTGTGTCTTCTGGTGCCTGAGTACCATCTGTGTCTTCTGCTGCCTGTGTACAGTCTGTGTCTTCTGGTGCCTGAGTACAGTCTCTGTTTTCTGCTGCCTGAGCATAGTCTGTCTTCGCGGTCTGCCGCCTGTGCCCAGTCTGTCTTCTGGTGCCTGAGTACAGTCTGTGTCTTCTGGTGCCTGAGTACAGTCTGTGTCTTCTGGTGCCTGAGTACAGTATGTGTCTTCTGGTGCCTGAGTACAGTCTGTGTCTTCTGGTGCCTGAGTACAGTCTGTGTCTTCTGCTGCCTGTGTACAGTCTGTGTCTCCTGGTGCCTGAGTACAGTATGTGTCTTCTGGTGCCTGAGTACAGTCTGTGTCTTCTGGTGCCTGTGTACAGTCTGTGTCTTCTGGTGCCTGAGTACAGTCTGTGTCTTCTGGTGCCTGAGTACAGTCTGTGTCTGCTGGTGCCTGAGTACAGTCTGTGTCTGCTGGTGCCTGAGTACAGTCTGTGTCTCCTGGTGCCTGAGTACAGTCTGTGTCTCCTGGTGCCTGAGTACAGTCTGTGTCTGCTGGTGCCTGAGTACAGTCTGTGTCTCCTGGTGCCTGAGTACAGTCTGTGTCTTGTGGTGTCTGAGTACAGTCTGTGTCTTGTGGTGCCTGTTTATAGTCTGTGTCTTCTGTTGCCTGTGTACAGTCTGTGTCTCCTGTTGCCTGAGTACAGTATGTGTCTCATGGTGCCTGAGTACAGTCTGTGTCTTCTGTTGCCTGTGTACAGTCTGTGTCTCCTGGTGCCTGAGTACAGTCTGTGTCTTCTGTTGCCTGTGTACAGTCTGTGTCTCCTGGTGCCTGAGTACAGTCTGTGTCTTATGGTGCCTGAGTACAGTCTGTGTCTTCTGGTGCCTGAGTACAGTCTGTGTCTCATGGTGCCTGAGTACAGTTTGTGTCTCCTGGTGCCTGAGTACAGTCTGTGTCTCCTGGTGCCTGAGTACAGTCTGTGTCTTCTGGTGCCTGAGTACAGTCTGTGTCTTCTGGTGCCTGAGTACAGTCTGTGTCTCCAGGTGCCTGAGTACAGTCTGTGTCTTCTGTTGCCTGTGTACAGTCTGTGTCTTCTGGTGCCTGAGTACAGTCTGTGTCTTCTGGTGCCTGAGTACAGTCTGTGTCTCCAGGTGCCTGAGTACAGTCTGTGTCTTCTGGTGCCTGAGTACAGTCTGTGTCTTCTGGTGCCTGAGTACAGTCTGTGTCTTCTGGTGCCTGAGTACAGTCTGTGTCTCCAGCTGCCTGAGTACAGTCTGTGTCTTCTGGTGCCTGAGTACAGTCTGTGTCTCCAGGTGCCTGAGTACAGTCTGTGTCTCCTGGTGCCTGAGTACAGTCTGTGTCTTCTGGTGCCTGAGTACAGTCTGTGTCTCCTGGTGCCTGAGTACAGTCTGTGTCTTCTGGTGCCTGAGTACAGTCTGTGTCTTCTGGTGCCTGAGTACAGTCTGTGTCTTCTGGTGCCTGTGTCCAATCTGTCTTCACGGTCTGCTGCCTGTGTCCAGGCTGTTTCCCTGGTCTGGTGGGTGTGTCCAGTCCGTGTCTTCAGGGCCTTATGGGTGTGTACACTCTGTGTATTCTCGTCTGGTTGAGGCCTGTGTTCAAATTGTGGGGGCGGTCGGGTAGCCTCGTGGTTAAAGCGTTCGCTCGTCACGCCGAAGACCCGGGTTCGATTCCCGACATGGGTAAAATGTGTGAAGCCCATTTCTGGTGTCCCCCGCCGTGATATTGCTGGCTCCTCACTCACTCCTTCAAATTGTGCTGTCATGGTCTGGTAACTGTGTCCAGTCTGTCTTCTAGTCTGAAGCATGCGTCCAGTATGTGTCTTCACGATATGGTGCATGTGTTTAGTCTGTCTTCTAGTCTGAAGCATGAGTCCAGTATGTGTCTTCACGATATGGTGCATGTGTTTAGTCTGTCTTCTAGTCTGAAGCATGCGTCCAGTATGTGTCTTCACGATATGGTGCATGTGTTTAGTCTGTCTTCTAGTCTGAAGCATGAGTCCAGTATGTGTCTTCACGATATGGTGCATGTGTTTAGTCTGTCTTCTAGTCTGAAGCATGCGTCCAGTATGTGTCTTCACGATATGGTGCATGTGTCCAGTCTGTCTTCTAGTCTGAAGCATGAGTCCAGTATGTGTCTTCACGATATGGTGCATGTGTTTAGTCTGTCTTCTAGTCTGAAGCATGCGTCCAGTATGTGTCTTCACGATATGGTGCATGTGTTTAGTCTGTATTTGTTTTGCCATTCATGTGTTTTGTCTAAACTGAATCCAAGACAGTGTATTAATGGGCCAGTCTATAAAGTGATCTTAACACCGCGACTATGATAAGTCAGTTTCAAGTGGGAGTTAATTTCTTTTGTGGAACAGAAAGATAATTTTTTTTAACACATACAGCATGGTGTTCGTGACAAGCCACATGGAACACGGGTCAGACCAAACTATGTAGCACGAACCCATTTTATTTCTTTGTTGCGGATCGTTTTGTGAAAAGCCCTTGTGACATTCAAACATACATTTAAGAGATATCTGATAAGGTTGTCGCATGTGCAGTGTCCCATCAACCCTGCAGTTCAACGTGTTATGCCATGCATTGTTTTTGGTGATAAATAGTTTTGTTTTGTGACACTGACTGTGTAGAATTGTGTTTTGTGTGTCGGAAAACATTCGGTTTGGTTGGTACACCATGACAGGCTTAACTTCATAGTCTGGTGTCCATCGCTTTCTGCCACTTCGGGTTAACCAATGAGTGTGAAACCGAGTCACTTGCAGGGAACCAGAATCCAGCATTGGTGTTAAAAGACAAATAAAGTTTTCTCTGAATGAGCTAAACAACGTATTACGTATGAAAGAAAAAAAGCTTCAGCTGGAGCAGGAAAAAACACCCTGAACGACCCACCAGAAAGATACTGTCGGCTGATGTCAGCCCCCTTATACACATGCGATTTAGTCGCTTACCGTTACAATGTGAGTGAGTGAGTGAGTGGGTTTGGTTTAACGCCGCTTTAAACAGTATTCCAGTTATATCACGCGTGTCAGCTTAATGTGGGAGGAAAGCCCGAAGTGATGCAGGTCTCATACGTTTACCACTTCGGTGAAACCCAAGAGCACAGGTATGGTGCTGACAAACCTAGAAACATAATCGGGGCGAACCGAGATTCGAACCCACAATCATAGGTTTCTGGTGTGTTCAAGGGACGCAACTCTGCACAGCTAATCGCGGCGCCTTAGACGACTGGGCCACCCGTGCCCCCTACCGTTACAATGAGTATCATCAATGTGTCTGTGTGACTCATATGCCTTTCAGATGTATATGTATGTCAACAGTAAATAAACATGCGAATGAAGTGCTGTTAAATACAATCTGTAAATGATAGTGAATGAGTATGGTTTTACGCCGCTTTTAGCAATGTTCCAGCAATATCACGGCGGGGGACACGAGAATTGGGCTTCACACATTGTACCCATGTCGGGAATCGAACCCTGGTTTTCGGCGTGACGAGCGAACGCTTTAACCACTAGGCTACCCGACCGCCCCTAGCAGTTAACAACAGCGACAAATAATCATAAGACATCCCTGTCAAAAGCAATTTAGACTGCACAATTCCGACTACTTTATGAGCATGTGTCCATGCATCACTGTCAAACATCACCAGGTGCTCTCGAAAAGGCGAGTACACGCCGCCCAAACCGGTGCTATGCACCCCAAACAATAGTCTCCATAGGCTACCCGATGTTCTTGTGTTTGTAGCACTTTATACCATGATAACAAAGTGAGTCCAGAGTCTTGAGGAGAAGTGTTTTACTTGGTGGACATTCTGTTTATTCTCAAGTTAAACGCCACTAGTAGCAATATTCCACCAATATGAGGGCAAGGGGGGTAAGGAATGTACTTTGCATACTGTATCAATATTTAGAATCGAACCTTGGAATACAACGTGATGAGCGAACGCTTTACCCTCTCGGCTACCCAACCGCCCCAAAAGAAGATATAGACGGTACACTAAGGTTCATGGTAAGGTAATACATAACATTCTTTTATTTCGGGGGACCCGTGAAGATCCGGGGTAGAATAGGCCTTCAGCAACCCATGCATGCCGTAAAACGCGACTATGCTTGTCGTAAGAGGCGACTGACGGGATCGGGTGGTCAGGCTCGCTGACATGGCTTATGCATGTCATCGTATCCTAATTGTGTGGATCGATGCTCATGATGTTAATCACTGGTCCAGACTCGATTATTTACAGACCGCCGTCATATAGCTGGAATATTGCTGAGTGCGGCGTTAAACAAAAAACAAACAAATAAACAAATCATTTCGAGGACCTCAAGACAATATGAAATTATGAAAATTGCTTGAATTTGAACATTGAATATTTACGGAAATAAATCATTATGAATACAGGATATACATCAATATGGGTCATTGTTTATTCTCCAATACATCGCCCCAATACATCGGTTGTTATTTCCCAACCACGTGGCCGTGGTGGTGTCCATCTCCATTTTGCGGCGGTGTCGGGGTAAAGACGGGGAACCGACACACCTTCATGCACTCGTCTTCCGTCTCGAAGTTGTTAGAGTTACCTCCGCATCCGCTGTAGGGGAAGATGAGGCACTGGCTCTGGAATGTGTCGAAGTAGAACCGGCTCTCGGCACCGTGGCAGGTACCGCTCACCGGCGGCAACAAACACACTGAAGAATACCACATAGTGTTGGATACAGTGTTAAAACTGCCTGTAAACACGTTTTATTATTACATTTTGTGCTTCCAAAATAACAAATTGCAAACGTTCTAAGGATCCGTAATTTGTTTGTTTTCTAAACTAATCATAGGCAAATATCCCTCACGTAACTAATGTTTCAACCACCATGTACATTGTAAAATTAGTTAACACTTTCAAATTACATTTTGCAGTAATCTTGATTTTTCTTATTTCTTAATTCAATTTACGTTGGGTTTGGACCCCCCCATTATCATTGGCTTTATAACCCTTTTTCAGCTCTTTCGTGGTGGTCTGTAAGTAATCGTTTCTGGGCTAGACAAACCAGTGGTTAATATTATGAGACCCCCCCCCCCCCCCCCCCCCCCCCTCCCCTTTGTCGGGGTACGATGACAGGTAATCAACCAATAGCCTCAAGATCCATTTTAGTCGAAGTTTACTACAATTATTGGTATCTAGGGACTAACTCTAACCCGTGTCCCAACGCGGATCATTCTTTGTAAGTTAGTTTGTAATTACATTATAATGCACAAAAATACGAGGCATAAGGTAGCCAGAGATATTATATATTGTGTAATATTTATTATTTCTTTTGTTAGGCCATAATAAAAATATATATATGCCTTGGTTGGTATATGCTTCTTAATCTGTATTTAAAAAAACAAACTTATCCATAAATAGCCTTTTTCAATAGGTGTACGACACTCGAAGTACGGACATTGTATTCCAAAACGTTTAACCAAAACGGTTAGCTATATTGGAAAAGAATCTCATTGTGAAAATCATGTGCTATAATAATGTGTTTTTTCGATGTTCGGGAAACTCTTTCTTACAATGATTTCAGGACAAGATCTTGCACCAGGTTTTACCTAAAAACATTAGATTATTTAAGATGGGACTAAAAGATAACACATGTAGCTATTGTTTTACCTACTAACACTAGATTATTTAAGATGGGACTCACAGATAACACACGTAGCTGTTGTTTTACCTACTAACACTAGATTATTTAAGATGGGACTCACAGATAACACATGCAGCTATTGTTTTACCAACTAACACTAGATTATTTAAGATGGGACTCACAGATAACACACGTAGCTGTTGTTTTACCTACTAACACTAGATTATATAAGATGGGACTCACAGATAACACATGCAGCTATTGTTTTACCTACTAACACTAGATTATATAAGATGGGACTCACAGATAACACATGCAGCTATTGTTTTACCAACTAACACTAGATTATTTAAGATGGGACTCACAGATAACACATGCAGCTATTGTTTTACCTACTAACACTAGATTATTTAAGATGGGACTCACAGATAACACATGCAGCTATTGTTTTACCAACTAACACTAGATTATTTAAGATGGGACTCACAGATAACACATGCAGCTATTGTTTTACCTACTAACACTAGATTATTTAAGATGGGACTCACAGATAACACATGCAGCTATTGTTTTACCAACTAACACTAGATTATTTAAGATGGGACTCACAGATAACACATGCAGCTATTGTTTTACCAACTAACACTAGATTATTTAAGATGGGACTCACAGATAACACACGTAGCTGTTGTTTTACCTACTAACACTAGATTATTTAAGATGGGACTCACAGATAACACATGCAGCTATTGTTTTACCAACTAACACTAGATTATTTAAGATGGGACTCACAGATAACACATGCAGCTATTGTTTTACCAACTAACACTAGATTATTTAAGATGGGACTCACAGATAACACACGTAGCTGTTGTTTTACCTACTAACACTAGATTATATAAGATGGGACTCACAGATAACACATGCAGCTATTGTTTTACCAACTAACACTAGATTATTTAAGATGGGACTCACAGATAACACATGCAGCTATTGTTTTACCTACTAACACTAGATTATTTAAGATGGGACTCACAGATAACACATGCAGCTATTGTTTTACCTACTAACACTAGATTATTTAAGATGGGACTCACAGATAACACATGCAGCTATTGTTTTACCTACTAACACTAGATTATTTAAGATGGGACTCACAGATAACACACGTAGCTGTTGTTTTACCTACTAACACTAGATTATATAAGATGGGACTCACAGATAACACATGCAGCTATTGTTTTACCAACTAACACTAGATTATTTAAGATGGGACTCACAGATAACACATGCAGCTATTGTTTTACCTACTAACACTAGATTATTTAAGATGGGACTCACAGATAACACATGCAGCTATTGTTTTACCTATTAACACTAGATTATTTAAGATGGGACTCACAGATTACACATGCAGCTATTGTTTTACCAACTAACACTAGCTTATTTAAGATGGGACGAACAGATAACACATGTAGCTGTATCAGATAATATCATTCTTAAAACAATCGAGGTTTAAGACGTATTTCACCCAGTAAAGTAACTTTAGAAACAGCAAATGACTACATACATTTTCGCGGTTAGCAAACCTCCCCCTTATTTATATAGAGTTCCAGATGATTTACAGCCATGTTTGTTTATCGAAACATCGTCATATCGGGACCTGCCTCCGTGGTCAAAAGACGTTAAAAGATAGTATTCGTTGTCAACCTGTTTGTCTTTACAAAAACAACCAAACAACATCTACGTCATTGACGTTTAACTGAAAGTTGACTTTGACAATATACACACTACTGGTTCATGCTATAGACAGCGAACGCTCCCAGTCAGCAGGGGAGCATTCAAGATATAGATTCAGCAGCCAAGTGCACATGCCACCTGGTAATTCCCACATTGACTTACTTTCAGTAGGATGACGGTAATTTAACTGACGTCTTTAATTAGAACGCCCATCTTACCTATATCTGAAAACGAAAACAAATCATATAACTACACATTTATGAAGCTTGTTGACTTTCTAATAAAAAATACATGTTTACTGTTTATGAGCCACGTTTCCGCGATCGTAACATCGTGTACAATATTTTCGAATATCTTCCAAAATAAGAATCGATCAGAAAGATCGATACAGGTCAGCAACATATAACCGTTCTGTTATTCCCGATTTCTACTAATTTCTCTTATCTAGCAATACGGATCAATAGTGAGTGAGTGAGTTGGGTTTAACGCCGCTTTTAACAGTATTACAGTTATATCGCGGCGTGTCAGCTTAATGTGGGAGGAAAGCCCGAAGTGATGCAGGTCTCAGACGTTTATCACTTCGGTGAAACCCACGAGCACGGGTATGGTGCTGACAAACCTAGAAACATAATCGGGGCGAACCGGGATTCGAACCCACAATCATAGGCTTCTGGCGTGTCCACGGGACGCAACTCTGCACAGCGAATCGCGGCGCCTTAGACGACTGGGTCACCCGTGCCCCCTACGGATCAATAAAAATACACGGAAACAATTGAACAGTTTCACCTTAGTTGTAACGAGTCTGACCCAGAATCCCGTTATGGTTACATATTTCTATTATTGTAACAAATATGTGCCAAATCCTTGACCGTTTCCTAGATATCAGATTGTAAGATGTTTTAATTATGTAAAATGTAAAATTATAGCCACATCTTTCCTATTTTCTTTAGGTTGCGAATAACTGTGTACAGTTTAAACACAACTCGGAGCATGCGACATCCGACTCACTCAATACCATCAATACCACTTACCATAACTGTCGATTCGCGACACACAACTGAATACGACCAATACGGCGACTGTGGACGCCCAGACTTGGTTCATGATTGGCGTTGGCGTACGTGAACGCGACTGTACGGGAACACTAGGACAGCCAGATGTGTTGTGTAACAATCAGTTGTGTTGTGCTGCATGTCGTGCCACAGGCGCGATAAACTACAGGCTAGGCACATCCTGACATGGTCTGTCTGGCGACAGTGGATAGATAACGAACTAGAGCCCCACATTGGTGAGAAACTATTATCTGTCCGGTCGCCCTGTGTGACTCTCACGGAGCTGGCAATCTGTCCTGTCGTAGAGAATGACTTTCCTGGTGCTGGTAAAGTGCCCTGTCGTTATGGAGCTGGCAATCTGTCCTGTCGTAGAGTATGACTTCCCTGGTGTTGGTAAACTGTCCTGTCGTTATGGAGCTGGCAATCTGTCCTGTCGTAGAGAATGACTTCCCTGGTGCTGGTAAACAGTCCTAACGTCATGTGTGACTCTCTTGGTGTTTGGTGTCTGTCCTGTCGTGGGGTGCGACTTTGATGGTGCTGGATGTCTGTCCTGTCGAAGAGTGTGACTCTCATAGTGTCTGGTGTCTGTCCTGTCGAAGAGTGTGACTCTCATGGTGTTTGGTGTCTGTCCTGTCGTAGAGTGTGACTCTCATGGTGTTTGGTGTCTGTCCTGTCGAAGAGTGTGACTCTCGTGGTGTTTGGTGTCTGTCCTGTCGAAGAGTGTGACTCTCATGGTGTTTGGTGTCTGTCCTGTCGTAGAGTGTGACTCTCGTGGTGTTTGGTGTCTGTCCCGTCGTAGAGTGTGACTCTCGTGGTTTTTGGTGTCTGTCCTGTCGTAGAGTGTGACTCTCGTGGTGTTTGGTGTCTGTCCCGTCGTAGAGTGTGACTCTCGTGGTTTTTGGTGTCTGTCACGTCGTAGAGTGTGACTCTCATGGTGTCTGGTGTCTGTCCCGTCGTAGAGTGTGACTCTCATAGTGTTTGGTGTCTGTCACGTCGTAGAGTGTGACTCTCATGGTGTTTGGTGTCTGTCCTGTCGTAGAGTGTGACTCTCATGGTGTTTGGTGTCTGTCACGTCGTAGAGTGTGACTCTCATGGTGTCTGGTGTCTGTCCCGTCGTAGAGTGTGACTCTCATAGTGTTTGGTGTCTGTCACGTCGTAGAGTGTGACTCTCATGGTGTTTGGTGTCTGTCCTGTCGTAGAGTGTGACTCTCATGGTGTTTGGTGTCTGTCACGTCGTAGAGTGTGACTCTCATGGTGTTTGGTGTCTGTCCTGTCGTAGAGTGTGACTCTCATGGTGTTTGGTGTCTGTCACGTCGTAGAGTGTGACTCTCATGGTGTCTGGTGTCTGTCCTGTCGTAGAGTGTGAAGCTCATGGTGTCTGGTGTCTGTCCTCTCGCAGAGTGTGACTCTCATTGTGTCTGGTGTCTGTCCTGTCGAAGAGTGTGACGCTCATGGTGTCTGGTGTCTGTCCTGTCGAAGAATGTGACTCTCATGGTGTCTGGTGTCTGTCCTGTCGTAGAGTGTGACTTTCATTGTGCTGGGCATCACCTTAAGAATACTACGTTTAAGAACAAACATCCCACGATTGCCAGAGGTTGTTATATGCTGAACAAAAACGTTAAGGATCATGAATATTTTGGTGACTTTGTTGTGAAGACACATACTGATGATATAAAAATATCCTTCCAATTATTCATGATCCCTAACTTATTTGTTCAGCGCATATTGTAATTGAGTTGGTTGAAGCAGTCGTAAATGCGTTGAAGGTAAGAATGCGATATCTCCATAGCTTGATTTGATTATAATATGCCTATAAAGTCCAAATATGCACCGAAATACGTGAAAATGGGTGTGTATTAGGTTATCCTACTGTGTGGGGGAAAGAGATGCATGTTGTGCCCTTGGACATTTCAATTCTTGAATGTGCTGCAATATATTGGTTTCGTCACAGTTCGACTCACCGAACTCTGTGCTCACCGTGGGTTATCTTACTGAAAGGCGGACAAAATCGATAATGATCAATGTTATTATCACGTAGTAAATAAATCATCGTAATTTGTATGAAAGCGTTTTTTTCATCTCGTGCACATACACTTACACACATACATACATTTAAATTAAATTTTGTATATTCCCGTACATCACGCTATTGACAACTGGAACTCATTGTGCACATAGGACGGATTTAAAAGCAACGCCGTAGCTCCTCAATGCCAGGAAACAGGTGTCACCATGAATAAAGAAGACGTCAATATTTATAGCCACGGCTGAAAGAGAACAACTAAGAGCAATCAATACATCTGAAAACTGTTCATTTAGGTGGATAGTTTAGGATGTGCTCTATACATGAAGCATGGTTAGCATGAGTAGCTCAAGAACATTCTGGCAATGTTGATCCGGCATCGTTTCATGTGTATTTTGGTGGTTTCGGCTGTGGCCATCATTGTCGTTGCTGTACAAAGCACAACACGTGGCTATAAAAGACACAACACAGAAGAACATGTGGATATCAATCAGTTTTCAAAAGGAGAACATATTTTAACACTGGACTCGAAAAGTAACTCGGGGCAGTCATGTGTGTACCCTGCCCGTGAACCAAGTGGTGCTCCGTGTCCACAGAATCATCTTCGTGAGTCATCTTTGTTTCTCTCCGGGTAAGGAATGAATGAATGAATGAATGAATGAATGAATGAATGTATGAATGAATGAATGAATGAATGAATAAATGAATGAATGAATGAATGAATGAATGAATGTCTGAATGAATTTCCTCCAGATAAATCCGAAAATTCTCAAAACATCAAGATTATGTAATTAAATAATCAAATAACACAATAATCAAACATATATACAGACATATATACATATCAATGTCCCGCATATTTACAGGCTAAAAACAGTAAGAAATATTGGTAAGGTTACTACACGTTGTTTAGGATATGTTTAATTTGATATAAATACTTTGAAAATTCAATAATTGTAAAATGCCACGTTATTTCATCAATGTCATTGTTGTCTGCACCAAGAAAGAATGCTAACATATCATGGTCTTCCATCATCTCTATTTGAACATACATTTCAACATCAAGATTATCAATTAGAGTTGAAAAGAATACATCTCACTCTGAAAGTAGACATTCACAGTTTAAGATGACATGGTGATAAAATCATGAGCAAAAGTATTACATTTTGCACATTCTTTTGATATTTTGCTTCTGGATCCAATCCTTATTACATACTGTATTTCTTCTCTCAATTCTGGATATAACATTACAATGCTGTATAACACATGAAGAGTAAGTGTTGGGTGAATTTTAGGATATCGAGATAGGTCAGCTCTACATGATAGTTTATATCATCTTTGTTTTTCTCCGGGTAAGGTATCCGGGTAAGGTTTACTTAAGCTAACGAACAGTATTTTAGTCATGTCACGACTTTTGTGTGAGGAGGAAAGCCAAAGGTGTGTACGAGTTCCGCCACTTTGGATTCATACACCAATATATTAATCTGACATAACTGAAACATTATAGAAGGGGTCATTGAACCCATCACATCTTCTCACCATTTTGAAGCAATCAGAATATCATTAATCTCAGACCTAACATCTTATAATTTAGCCTGACATTCCAAGTTGGCATGCATGACGCTAACATCCATACAGTAGTAGTTCCAACACGTTGAAAACATTACAATTGATTTAGTTTGGGAACTAGAACTGTCAAGCCTGAGATATATTTGTGAGCTGCTTTTGTCGGAGCTCAACAGAGACAAGTTATGAGTGAGAATTATTCTTTGATGACTGAACAATATCAGTGATTTCGTATGGTTGTCTACATATTTACGTGTGTTAATGATTAAATAATCAGGTCGGCTACGTGGATTTACATAGTGTACCGGCTTTTACTTTTATTGCTCTATCAACGCAAAAACTGTTGAAGTCATTTTTTATAAAATCCTGCGCAACATGTGGTTATCATGATGTAAATTTCAACATAACTGTGCAGTGTCTGCTCAAAATAACCTTTAAACAATTCAAAAAGTATGAATATATATTTGTAATAGAGCATCTTTGAAAATAATAATTCCCTAGGCATTTCTGTATATCGGAAATTGTATCGGTGCTTTTCTTTAGGTGAGAAACGACGAATACTAAATGAATCGCTACCATGGATTGAACTTGAGACGACCTTGAATGCGTCCAAGACACTTCTCCCCGGGGGATACCACCAACCGCTGGGATGTGCCTCACCACAGCGACTTGCCATAATAATTCCCTACAGAGACAGAGAGGTGAACCTGAAGATCCTCCTCAACAACCTCCACAGAGTGCTCCAGAAACAACAGGCGGAATATGTCATCTTTGTGGTGGAGCAGGTTTGTTTTGTTTGTTTGTTGTTTAACGCAGCACTCAGCAATATTCCAGCTATATGACGGCGGTCTGTAAATAATCGAGTATGGACCAGACAATCCAGTTATTAATATCATGAGCATCGATCCAAGCAATTGGGATCGATGACATGCATCAACCAAGTCAGCGAGCCAGGTTACCCGATCCCGTTAGTCGCCTCTTACGACAAGCATAGTCACCTTTTACGGCAAGCATGGGTTGCTGAAGACCTATTCTACCCCGAATCTTCACAGTGTTGACAGTATACCTCACAGCATAGAAATAGACAGTCGCCCCCGTTGTAATTTGTTATGAATACCGCAGTCATTTGTTAAATTTCAAGATTAGGGTATGATAATTTTATATCAGCAAAAGCGCTATCGTGTCACTTGATTTTCGGGCCCATCACTTGATTGGTCAAGACACGATTGTTTACAGGTCGCGGTCGCATGGCAGCGTGCTGACGTGCAGAGTCAGGCAACAAACAAACATTTATTTTTTATGCGTGAGTGGCGGCGGCTACCGGTAGGGCAGGATATGCTTACCTTTTTCGCGAATGCCTATTGTCATGATGGACTTGCAGGGATCCATTCATGTATGTTATATACAACTTTTAAAACGAGAGTTGGGGAATCGGCTCGCTTAGCAGAGGTACCACTGTACACGACCAACCCACATAACAACACAAGACCCGAGTGAACTGTCAGTATATTAGACAGCCATATAATAATATATATAATCAGTCAACAATAGAATGTTTACAATCAGTTATTAGAGCATGTTGACAATCAGTCATAGAGGAAGATATATGTGAAGGACATTAGGTGAACATGATCACAATCATTACACAAGATACATACTGCATTAGTCACGACACATATTCCAAGGTACACAACGTAATACTTCAGTATACATATGATTGAAATTGGTATACCCGAAATACTCTAACTAATACATTATCCGAATGGGCATTCACACAAGATACAGTCAGTTCAGCCATAATACATAGTCCAACGTAATACAGTTAACATAATTGGCATAATCTATCACTAATACACAGAAGTAGTACAATGGGAACATCTAAGATATACACACAATTATGACACTTAGTTACCAATTAAACTTGCAGGTATTACCAAGTTAAGTTATAGTTAAGATTTAACATAGTACAAGATAGTAACGTTTCTTACCTGAGTGAATAAACACTCAGTTTATTAGACAGCCACAGAATGATTTGTGACTGTCTGTCGTCCGTATTTATACCTATTCTACCTACTACAGATAGTCACATCGACTGATTAAACTGACGATAAAGTCGTTATTGCGAACTTTAGTGGCGCTATCTGGAAAGAATTATATAATTTAGTTTGACCGAGGCATTGATGATAAAGGTGTTTATGAGTGAAGTTCAGTAAGAATAATAGTTCACCAGTGGATTTATGCAACGAATGTTTACGTGGTACGTGTGATTTGATAAGGGTGGTAACAGCTGTAGATACAGATAGAGATATACACGTCTTATATGTGTTTGCCTTACTCTATCTGACAAGGGGCGGTCGGGTAGCCTAGTGGTTAAAGCGTTCGCACGCCACCCCGAAGCCCCGGGTTCGATTCCCGATATGGGTAAAATGTGTGAAGCCCATTTCTGGCTAAAGGCAGCGTAAAACCATACTCACTCACTATCTGACCAGCACCATGAATGATGCGGGTCCTGTCCGATATGCGTTATCGGGTTGACCGTTGGCAGTCTAAAGATAATGGAACGTGGTCGTTAGATGTAATATTCCCTTATTTCACAATTTCCAATTCTTAATATGTAGCATATAACGTGATAAAATATTTGTCAAATTTTGTCCATTTTCCCCATGTTAATACAACCAACGGTGGCTTCGACTTGTACCATATGTTGCCGTGTTTGTTAAGGAGAACAGTTGGCTTGCCTTTCACAGGCGCGTGCCACTGGTCGCTTACCCTTTCACGTCCGCCTTCTATTTCCTATAATGATCACCAATATCCGTTCATAATCAGCAGCCATAGTGACTTCCCAGAACCCTCCGATATCATACACAAAACAAGGGGGTGGTCGGGTAGGCTAGTGGTTAAAGCGTTTGCTCGTCACGCCGAAGACCCGGGTTCGATTCCCGACATGGGTACAATGTGTGAAGCCCATTTCTGGTGTCCCCCGCCGTGATAATGCTGGAATATTGCTAAAAGCGGCGTAAAACCATACTCACTCACTCACAAAACAAGAAGGGCCGGTTCTGTTATGTTCGTGAATACCCTCATTGCATATACATTGAAGACACATTATGTCATCATAAATTTAAAAGTGTGTGAAGTCAGTCCATGTCTTTTTCAGTAATTTTGATGAAGGTGGTAGTCCAATAACGATCGTTTCATAACGAGAAATGATTACAATTACAGAAGAATCATAATAGAACTACAATAATGTTTTCACATATATTGCAGGAAAACGGTACACCGTTTAACAGAGGATTGATTAAAAACATTGGGTACCTTGAAGCCAAGGCTCGTTGTCATTTTGACTGTTTCACCTTCCATGATGTCGACTTGGTGCCTGAGAGTGAGAGGAATACCTACTGGTGTGGGACAAATGCTGTGCATCACGCTCGAAGACTCGACATATGGAAATATAGGTAGACCCAACTCTGTACCACGCTCTCTACCTACACTGAAGTAGTGAACCACGTACAATTATAAGCTCACCATGTGTAGAGGGCAGGGCATTTGCTTGTCAAGTGTATCAACTCATTTACGGTCAGAATGTTTTGTCGACTATAATGCATAATAATAAAATTGTTCGTTGGTTGGTTTGTGTGTTTATCGCAGCACTCAGCAATATTCCAGCTATATGACGGCGGTCTGTAAATAATCGAGTCTGAACCAGACAATCCAGTGATTGACATCATGAACATCGATCCACGCAATTGGGATCAATGACATGCATCAACCAAGTCAGCGAGCCTGACCACTCGATCCCGTTAGTCGCCTTTTACGACAAGCATATTCACCTTTTACGGCAAGCATGGGTTGCTGAAGACCAATTCTACCCCGGATCTTCACGGGCCCCATAATGATAAAAGCGACAAAACCCTTTCCATATTCCTAAGAAATCCCTGCTAAAGCGGGTCGATTGTACGATTCCGACTGTATCGTGCGCATGGGAAACCCTGTTTGAAGTCATTTTACCCCCGATAAAATACATAAAAAACATACATTAAAAAAACAAGGGGTGCTTTTTCGACACAATATTAAACTAAAAAATAAGAATATGTGTAGGACGTTTGCGATTTTAGTCTGGTCAACTTGCAGGCTTGTAGAAGAGGCTCAGGGGACAGCACTGCGTTTAACGAGTGCCTGTAAAGGAAGGATCGATATATTTATAATGAAAGAGACGTTTGCACTGTGTATACGGTTGTGTATATTTCTTATTAATTTCGTTAGCGTGAATTACCTTAAGTTTACATTTCAGGGTAATATACACCTACCTCTTTGGTGGGGTAATCACCTTCAACGAGACGTTTTTCTCCACCATCAATGGTTACTCCAACTTGTTCTTCATGTGGGGAGCGGAAGACGATGACCTGTTTCACAGGTAAGACGTTTCACCAGGAATGTTTCTGTTCAGGAGAAAACACGCCTCTGGGGTTGAAAATGTAAAACTCAAGCGGGAGGTTTTTTGGACCCTGGCGATTACATTTTTTACTACTACAATGTGTTTGTTTCGGAATTATAAACCGGCGAATTAACATTCAATAATATTTGTTTCGTATCATGCATAAAAGTGCGTTAAGACAGTCTAAAGAAGCGCCCGTAAAATTTATATGGTCAGGAAATATTCGCTAAAATTATTGACCATCTCGTGGAACGTCAGGCCTATACGTACTTTGCAGGTTAGAGAAAAACTCCAGAATGCCCATATCAAAGACAAACCTCGGGCAGAATACAAATGTAGACTTAGAAAATCTGGAGTTCAGAGCTGAACGCTCGCAATAGAGTCAAAGCCACAAATACTTATGCTGTGCCCGTCCTTTCGTATTCTTGGTGTTGTTGATTAGACGAAACAAGAAATTCACGGTATTGACACCCTCACACGAAGAATCATGTCAGACAATAGATCCCACCACCCTCGCTCTTCCCTCAATCACTTCTATTCACCAGTTAAAATGTGAGGGCGTGGTTTGATTAACGTGGAGGCCCTTCATAATATAATTTTATTGTGCACTTTTGCACACATTTAACTGTCTGATGATCCTCTTGTGAAGCATGTCAAGACTCATGATGAAAACAAGCCATTCCACATTTTTCTTAAACGAATCAAGGATTCGATTTAAAAAAAATGAAATAAAAAGGCAGAGAACGTATGCTCATTTTAGATTTAATTGTGATTTAAAAATAAATTATTTTGAAAATTGTCCAAAATGCACTCTTTTTTCTTATTAATCCTTCTTTTATCGCAGTAAGTCTTAATCGAGGGAAATATACTTATACTACTAATACTACAATATAAATTTAACATATATTTTCACCATAATAATCTTTAATTGTAATCTCAACAATAATTTTGCAATTTGGCCGTTTTTGAAATAATAATGAGAATAACTGATGTGTCAAAAAATTAATTGTATGTTTATTTAAAACACTAAACAGTTAAATATATAAAATAAAGGGTTCTTAAGCCAAACATTTGTAGACCTTGGAGCTTCTGAAAATGACCCCTTTCTATTCTGTCCGATAGCATTCGGAAATAGACTTGACGCTCCTTTGTAGGATTTAAGAACCCGGTTTGAAAGCTCTTCTTAATCTAAAATGACAGAAAAATAACATGTATCTGTATGTTCACATTAACTTGTAGTGTCAGATGATGGTAAATACAACTTGACAATTCCTAAATTATATCACTTTGTTAAGCACAGTCATTGGCATGTTCAAATTTTGACAAGAATATGTATCTCTCTATAATCTAATCTTTATTTAGATGTTCAAAGTACAAACAGCTTGAAATTCCTTTTGTCTTCGTTGATTATTCATGTAAATAACAAAAACGTCAACGCCTGAAAATAACCAGTCTCGATATCCACCGAAACAAAATCCACTGGGCGTAAAAGGCAAAATAGCAGTAAAAAATATATGATTGGATCACTGAAAAATAGTGATGACACCAGGTGTTCGCGAAAAGGGTAAGCATGTCCAGGTAGTCGACGCTCACACAATTCTTGCATAAGTATTTGTTACCTGACACCGCACAGCAGCACCCCTGCTATGCTACAGTGGCCTACAAACAAACCAGACAACCAAGTGATTGACGGACCAGAAAATCCAGTGACACGATAGCGCTTTTATTGATGGCTGAATTAATTGGAGATATTGATAAATGTATAAAATGAAAAAAAAAGTTATTATCACACGAGGTGCGCACGTTCATGAAGAATGTTGGTTTTCCAGGCGTAACTTGACTTTTGACATATTACTTAGAAAAAGAGTATCTCGAAATTGTATCGTGCCAATTTTGAGATTGAAGATCTTTACAGCATTGAAAGAAAATATTCAAAACCATTGTATTATTACCCCATTACTATCCAAACAAATGAAAACCGAAGAATAACATACGGACATGAGACACTCCATTTCCTTTTCGGTTCCATCAAAACTGTTCAACATTATAATAAACTCTTATCAAGATTCATTTTTAACAACTCTTTCGCCTAAACAGGTCATGGGGTGGTAGCCATGTGGTTAACGCGTTCGCTCGGCGCACCGTTTTCGATTCAGCACATGGCCCGCGCCGGTTTCGATTCAGCACATGGCCCGCGCCGGTTTCAAATCAGCACATGGCCCGCGCCGGTTTCGATTCAGCACATGGCCCGCGCCAGTTTCGATTCAGCACATGGCCCGCGCCGGTTTCGATTCAGCACATGGCCCCAATGGAGGAAGACCATCCCTGCTTACCCATTCCTTCACTACAGACTCCCTCTGTGGTCTAGGGAATAGAGCGTCTGCATCAATTGGTATATCAGTGGCTTAGCACAGTCTGTAAAACATACATTGGTCCACAAAATCGCACACACACGCGCGCACGCACGCACACACGCGCGCGGCCGCACACACACACACACACACACACACACAAACAAAACAAAACCAACCCCCCAAAAAACAAACATCCCAAAATCCCCCAAACAACCATTCATCTCACCTCACATTCACGTTAATGTCAAAATTAAAGGAAGAGTACCAAGTATGCTAATAGAAGTACGAAAAAGATAGGATGGCATTTTTACATACCATAATACCCTTTCCATAATCAAAAGAAATCTAACGAATCATTATCATTATCGGGTGTTCGCTATGTCCAACACAAATGTTTTCTGATAATGATAGTTTACTATTTTAGTCTGCATTGCTTAATCCTAGATGGTATTTGAACATATGTCTTGTGCATATCTTAAATAGAAACTTAATTTTAAAAGGTTAATGTAGTCAGCATGAGGGATTTAATCTCTTGCAACTGTATTGTAATTGCGGTAGTCTTGCTCCGAGCGTGATCTTATGGGACATTGTCTTGTTTAGTTCAACCATCCCCCCACTTCAGCTGTTGGTGTTTGTGTTCGATGCGAGTGATGAGTAGTGGAATGCTGATTAACGATGTAAATATTCCAGCACTAGTGCCGGTTTTTTCACGTCGGTCTGTAAACAATCGTCTGGAAAAGGCACACCTTTACCAGGAGTTGATAACACGGACAACTGTCCACTTCGTCGAATCACAGTGGCAAACAATCAGCCCAATCATACATTGTATGATCTGATACGCGTAGTTTAAGCGTTCGTTATGCCAAAGTGTTGCCGTGGAGCCCATCCTTGATGTCTCCGCCGTGATATTGCTGGATTAGTGCTAAAAGCGGCGTAAAACAATATTCATTCATTACTCGATTCCCAGGAAATCATATCCATTTCTAAATCAATACTCGTATAATACATTGACATACATACGCCTTTTCAGAGTGCGGAAGAAACATTTGAAGTTTGAAGTCAGCAAAGACCCTCGTTACACTGCACTGAAGCATACCAAAGAAACAAGACATCCTGAAGAAAAGTAGGTAGAGTTATGCTCGCCACGCTGTGGACATCACATGTGACAAGACACTACAATACAGTAAACACAGACACCCATGGACGTGTATGTTAATGGCTATTTATCCTTCTTTACTCATCTACATTAAATAAGTTTGAGTCCAGTTCGAATTAATGACCCTAAACATAGCCGTCGACTCATGTAAGACAGACTAGTCTGTGGGACGTTACTGTGGTGGAGATTGTGACATCACTTCACAAACGCAAAGTCGATCCACAATCGAGGAGGATAAAAAAGATGCCTCGTCAATATCATAGTGAGTGAGTATGGTTTTACGCCGCTTTTAGCAATATTCCAGCAATATCACGGCGGGGGACACCAGAAATAGGCTTCACACATTGTGCCCATGTCGGGAATCGAACCCGGGTCTTCGGCGTGACGAGCGAACGCTTTAACCACTAGGCTACCCGACCGCCCCGTCAATATCATAAGACTGCGGTGTTGTCTGTGGTGTTAATAATAATAATAATAATATAATAATAATAATATATTCTTATCGGGGACGCTTTACCTTGCAGATTGAACAATTTACGCAACACAGTGATGTAGCGTTACAAACATGTTTTTCCATTGAAAAGTATTCCAAAAAGGCGTAAAAAGTGTATGAAGAATGTATGAACATCATTTCAAGCAGACTGATATTAAGTACAGTTAACTACGGTTATAACGAACTCAAAGGGACTACTAATATTAGTTCGTTATAACCGTAGTTCGTTATAAGCATATATACATCATAACTACAGCAAATAGTCGGGACCAGAAAAGTAAGTTCGTTATATCCGCCAGTTCGTTATACACGTGTTCGTTATAACCGTAGTTTACTTTAACTTCAAATAGTTGTTAGTTGGCGTAAAACTAAGTAGATGTAATAAATTGTTAATGTTAAATAAATGTATGAAAATATCTTCAATCACGTAAAATGATTTCAACAATTTGATTTGATTTGTTTCTTCTTTTCAGGATAAAAATCTATACAAACAGCACTCAGAGGATGGACACGGACGGGCTCAACAGCATGGGAAGGCTTTACAGAGTTATATCTGTGGACTACAAGCCACTTTACACTCGAATATATGTATCTATTAATCAAACAGAAATATATACTCAGCTGAGGCATTATGGCATAAATTTGTAAATACCAATTAATATTGATAAATTTGTTTGAAAAGAAATGACATTCCTTTTGGTCCTTCAATAACCCGTATAATACACACGACATACAATCTGATGAGCGTTCGGATGAATGTGTTTACATATTAAAGCACATTGTCAGATGTCTTTATTGTGCGGAAGTTCTCTGTTTACACTAATGATGAAGACCTCCTTTTGACTTGGGCGGTGGGGTAGCCTAGTGATTAAAGCGTTCGCTCGTCACCCTGAAGACCCGGGTTCGATTCCCGACATGGGAACAATGTGTGAAGCCCATTTCTGGTGTCCCCCGCCGTGATATTGCTGGAATATTGCTAAAAGCGGCGTAAAACTGTACTCAGTCAGTGTTAACTGCTAAACATGAGAGATAATGTCAGGGTATAGTCTTGTAGCATCAAATTATGTCAATTTCTCATTGTTATATCATGACGAATCCATGTCGGACAAATCATGTAACATACATGAAATACCGTTGACTTCGACGTAAATTATTGTCATGATACATGATTACCTTTTCGTGTGCACTATTTCCAGTTGACAAATCCCATCTAATGAGATGCGGCCAGCTTTAGTTCAGTTCTGTGAACAGAGGCTAGTGTGGGGATCACATTCACGATAGTTCAGCCGAAGACGTATGCAGATCTATATACGTCTTCGGTTCAGCTTTGTAAAATTACAAGAAAAACGGCACAAAAATAGCCTAAATGTTAGGTCGGACGTTTTCAAACTACATACATTCGCAAACTGGTATATTATAATAATTAGACTGGGACATGGGCCTAAATGACAGTTCACATGAGGCTGCTATAGGGAATTTAAAATAAGATGTTATTTGCTTAGGTACGTTTAAGAAACGCGCATCCGTCATTGATTCAAAACTTCAGCACCTAAGTCTCAGAGGGGATGCTGAGAAACAAGTGAATGTTTACCAAGGATTGAAAGTTTGCATTTTCACCATTGTCATTGCATATATGACTTAATCACACAAATAAATCATCACTGAAAAAAAGAGGGGAAATGACATATTAATGTTATATGATTTGCAAGCGCGTTTTTACTACATTTGTAATGGAAAAGTAATTGTTGATGAAGTAAGTGGAATTAACCCATTATCTCATAGAGACGTAGGTGAGGTGAGGTGAAATGGGGTTTAATGTCGCGTCCAAGATTATTGCACTTATATAGCGACGTGCATATACGTGTATGTGTTTGTGTGGCTGCCTGTACTAGTCCGGACTGATGCCTTTTTATAGTGCTAGCGCACTGAGATACCATGCCGCAGTTTAACATGAATATCCCATTCAGACACAGTATACTGACTCCGAGCCGACCAGTCCTTGTTTTAGTCCCTTAATGCCGAGTGCCAGACAGGGTAACAACAAGTACCATCTTTTAACGTCTTTTGGTATGACGCGGCTGGGGATCGAACCCCGGACCTTCCGCTCTACCATTAGACCACGGAGGCGGTCCGCAAAATATAGCATACATGTACATGTATATCACAGTAAAACTCTAACTGTAAACGTCAACCATTTGGTAAGCTGATATTGGGCACCGAGTGTTTCAGGGCTCCACCATCACATTCGGAGATAATCAACTGATGAACAATGACGGGGGACAGCTGACGTGCTGTTGTTGACTTGCCACGACTAGAGCCATCATCGATCTCGCTATCACTGTTATTTAGAGACACTAAACTAACAATCTTTCCTTTATATTCCTACCTGTACATGTATGTGACGTTGCACATGCTGACCTGAAGAGAATGAGACTGCACCGAGTGCTTGAAGTGACATCACATAACAGTCAGTCTGTGAAAATGAATGAATGTTGCTCTCTTTGTTCAGTTTGAAACGTGAAAACGCATCAGCGTATAACACTGACACCGTGGCAAATAGTAACTTGGCCAAAATGAAAAAAATGACGCGATAGTGTATAACTTACATTTTGATTTCATGGGGAATTGAATACTAGTATTCATCTTATTTGTTTTTCATGAAGAAATAATATTTTGTAAAGGATTTATAACAATGTCATAATAACTACAGCTTTACTCGTATGTGAGCTGTAGCTATCTAGGGATGATATGGAAACATTTTCTACATAATCATACTTATTGTTGCTGATTAAAGAGTTCAAGTTTGCAGATGTGGTGAAGTTTAACATATACACAAAATCTATTTAGACTGTAGAGTAGCCAGTTCCTCACTATTTAAAATATAGTATTTATACAATAAATCTTACGAGCAGAATTCTGACAGAACTGGGGACTTTTATCTGTATACTGGTAAACCGCCACAATCAGATTAATGTTTGCGTACTGTGCAGGTTGTGAGCTAGACGAACGCTTAGACTCTGAAAATATAGAATTTAAGTTGAAAAGGGGTCCCAGTAAGGTGAAAGATAGACTTGCTTAACTGAGAACTATAGCATCACAGTAAGGTCTGACTGGAATTGAGATACGATGACATATATCAACCAAGTCAGTGAGCCTCGCCACCCAAACCCGTTTCTCGCCTCTTACGACAAGCGTAGTCGTCTCTTACGACAATCATGGGTTGCTGAAGACCTGTTCTACCCCGGACCTTCACTGTTCACCTGTAGGGGTTTCAGGACGGTTCAGCTGTAAGGGGTTCAGGACGGTTCAGCTGTAGGGGTTTCAGGACGGTTCAGCTGTAGGGGTTTCAGGAGGATACCATGTGCTTCAATATTCCATTGTGTGGTAAGTCAAACCTCATGTTGTGGTTCCGACGTATAAAGAACTGCTTAGTTAATGGAGTATTTAAATGAGTATGGGTATATATACTTGATCCGCCCGTGAATATTGTCCGACATCACGTGCGTGTGTGCGTTCATGTGTATGCGGTTGTGTGTTTGTGTTGTTAACATTACTATTATTGTGAAGCGTGATTATTTTTTGTGTAAACACACAGTATAACGAAATCGGGCCCCACGCTTGCAGACAGACAGTTTATTTGGGTCTCACCTCATGTCCAGCAATATATACATAAAATAATATACATCTATTATCAAAGTACACAAGACATTCTAAAAGAATTACGAGAGACCATATATAAAACAGGTTATACATAATATATTTAAAACAACATTCCCTGAAATAGAATAGAAATACATAATAATATCAGGAATATAAAAGCCCTCTTCGCCGGGTTAAACTTAAATACAAGGTTTTGGCCGAAATTAAAACTAAGCTAGTAAATGACAGTAAAACACACATCTTATCACTATCAGACAGAGAGTTGTATTGCGGTAATAGCAGCGCTGCGTTCTGCTCTAGCTTGTACGTCAGGTCTGAATATACTGCACAATGTAAACAAACAGGAAGTGACGTCAGCAGAAGAAACGTATTTCCCTCGCTGATAATTATTATTTTGTGGTGTGTACTAACTACTGTGTGTCTCATCTTCGATGCAGTTGTCACAAAAGGGGCATAACCGTTGTTGAATGGACAGTCCTTGCATGTGGCTGACCTCGCGAAGAAAGCTGGTATTACAGTTGGTAATTTATGACCGAATAACGCGTCATCGGCATTGTCTGTGGACACGTTCCACGAGCAAATCAACTGCAGCTGCAAACACACCAATCAGAATAGAGTAAAATGCAGACTGTACATCAACAAGGGTGACAACTTGGCCCTTTGTCTTTGCCGGCTGTGAACACTTGTCCTTCGGCCACCATGCTTGTTTGAGGCGATCAATGACACCCGTGTTGACCAACTGCAGGATTCTGGAAGTAAATAGGTGAGATGAAATGGGGTTTAACGTCGCGTAAGATTATTGCACTTATATAGCGACGTGCATGCAAGTGTGTGTGTGTGGCTGCTTGTACTTGTTTGGACTGATGCCGATTTATAGTACTAGCCCACTGAGATACCATCTCGCAGTTTAACATGAATACCCTACTCAGACACAGTATACTGACTCCGAGCCGACCAGTCCTTGTTTTAGCCCCTTAATGCCGAGCGCCAGACAGGGTAACAACAAGTACCATCTTTGGACGTCGTTTGGTATGACGCGTTCGGGGATCGAACCCCGGACCTTCCGCTCTCCTGGCGGATGCTCTACCATTAGACCACGGTGGCGGTCCCTGGAAGTAAATAAGCAGTGTTACTTCTTCTTCAGAGTGTCTTCTTGACTACAGTGTCATGTCACAACGTGATACGATCATATTTACTTTAGGTAATGACGAAAGTAGTCCGAACAATAAACAGGACTTGAAAAGAAAAAGAGCTTCTGTGTGTGGGATACGAAAAGACGTTAAAAGGTGGTACTTGTTGTTACCCAGCCTGGTGCTCAGGATATTGGGGACAACACAAGTTCTGGACGGTGAGCCAGTATGCTGTGTCTGAATGGGATATCCATGTTAAATATAGCATGGCATCTCAGTTGGCTAGCACTATAAAACCGCAATTCGTTTGGGCAAGTACACACGTACACGCACGTCGCTAAATAAGAGCAATAATCTTGAACGCGGCGTTAAACACCACCTCACCTTTGGTGTTTGGGATTAATAATTGTACTTACATGTCTGAAACAATCTCTTTGTATGGAGAACCATTTGGAAACGCAATGCTGTATGTGACAGGGTAAAGATTATCTTTGAGCATGCGCAGTTGGCAGTTACGACTCCTCCAGTAGTTGGAGAGCGGACGCCCTCCTATAAAGGCATAGTCCTCTGTTAATAGTCTCTTCAGGTGCACATCTTGATGCGGACTTAGAATATCTGGATCGGATTTGCTGAATCTCTGTATACCTTCAAGAAGGAGCTTGTGAACGGTCAGGTTGGACATCTAACAAAAAACATAATTCGAGGAATACATGTACGCCTTTCACTGTTTTGAGTACAAATTAGTGACTTAAAATAAGCTAAAACATTTTGCAGAAAGCATTTAAATTGCGACAAAAAAACATAAATAAAAAAGTGCTGATCATAACGCATGTGAGTATAATAGGTTCCATGACACGTGATAATCATTCACGATGTTTACTGTTTTTTTGTATGCATGTCATCGTATCCCAATTGCGTGGATCGATGCTCATGATAATAATCACTGGATTGTCTGGTCCAGACTCGATTATTTACAGACCGCCGTCATATAGCTGGAATATTGCTGAGTGCGGCGTTAAACAACAAACCAACCAACTAACCAACCAACTGTTTATTTGTTTTTCTTTATTTAATACCTCAGTGCGCAATATTTGAGCCATCAATTATAGCCGCTTGTAAATAATCGAGTCTGGACGAGGCAGACCAGTAATTGATATTATGAGCAACGACTTACGTCGTGTGCATTCGCTATAAACTCAGAGGACCCGTGAAGATCCGGGGTCGAATAGGTTTTCAGCAACCCATGCTTGCCGTAAAAGGTGACTATGCTTGTCGTAAAAGGCGACTAACGGGATCGGGTGGTCATGCTCGCTGACTTGTTTGAAGCATGTCTTCAATCCCAATTGCGTGGATCGATGCTCATGATGTCAATCACTAGATTGTCTGGTCCAGACTTGATTATTTACAGACCGCCGTCATATAGCTGGAATATTGCTGAGCGCGGCGTTAAACAATAAACAAACAAACAAACAAACAAACAAACAATATAAACTCAGACATCACGTCCATTACGTCGCCTCGTGTGATAAGCATTGTTTGATCGGGACCTATAATTCTAACAATCCTCACGGGCCGTTTGAACTAATTAATAGCTATCTACTGATTTATGTTTTACACAGATTATTGTTGTCGTGCCATGTACATTCACATGTAAATATCACAACATGGTGACGAATAAATAAACATTTTGTAGATGTTTTGTTCTGAAATATAGCCTACATTTTATTAATTACTCAAAATTCATAATCTATGACAGCTGCAATTGTGGCAGGTGAACATTCATCAGATTGTGATGCATCCTTGCACGATTATGGCAAACATAAGTCAGATCGTGATGCATCTCACATAACGTTATCAAAGATACACTCTTCAAAGTTAAGTACATAAAGTCAATTTATGTGGGCGATCGGGTAGCCTTGTGGTTAAAGCGTTCGCTCGTCACGCCGAAGACCCGGGTTCGATTCCCGACATGGGTACAATGTGTGAAGCCTATTTCTGGTGTCCCCCGCTGTGATATTGCTGGAATATTGCTAAAAGTGACGTAAAACCATACTCACTCACTCACTCACTCACTCAATATAAGTAAAAACAGTCATTTCAATCACGCTTTTTTAAATTTTAGTAATCTGTTGCAAATACCTTGAACAGTGTCAGAAAGCTGCATCCACTGACACAACCCCATTTGAAATTAGTCTGGGTTACCATCTCAAGTGCAGTCTCAAATGGAGGCGACTGGGCGTTGGCGGTGAGGAAGGCGACGAGGTTACCAGAGAACACAGCGGTCATGAGGCACGTCAGTACCCACCAGCAGCCAAGCAAAACACGACTGCGGGGATGCCGAAACATCTGCCCATTGCCTGTACAAGCGTAATAACCATCCAGTAAAACTAGTCAAAACATTCCCAGGAAGTATTATTCAAGTCATTCCAATACTGCATTGTCTGCCTGCTGCTTCAAATTTCAGATGATCGTAGCATAAAACTAGTCAAAAACATTTAGTTAAAGGCGGACTGGGCTCAGACAAATTGGCAATCCCAGGAAGTATTATTCAAGTCATTCCAATACTGCATTGTCTGCCTGCTGCTTCAAATTCCAGATGATCGTAGCATAAAACGAGTCAAAACATTTAGTTAAAAGCGGACTAGGCTCAGACAAATTGGCAATCCCAGGAAGTATTATTCAAGTCATTCTAATACTGCATTAAATATTGTCTGCCTGCTGCCTCAAATTTCAGGTGATCGTGGAATAAAACTAGACAGTTAAAATATTTAGTTAAAGGCGGACTAGGCTCAGACAAATTGGCAATCCACGGAAGTATTATTCAAGTCATTCCAATACTGCATTGTCTGCCTGCTGCTTCAAATTTCAGATGATCGTAGCATAACACTAGTCAAAACATTTAGTTAAAGGCGGACTGGGCTCAGACAAATTGGCAATCCCAGGAAGTATTATTCAAGTCATTCTAAAACTGCATTAAATATTGTCTGCATGCTGCTTCAAATTTCAGGTGATCGTGGAATAAAACGAGTCAAAACATTTAGTTAAAGGCGGTCTAGGCTCAGACAAATTGGCAGTCCACGGAAGTATTATTCAAGTCATTCCAATACTGCATTGTCTGCCTGCTGCTTCAAATTTCAGATGATCGTAGCATAACACTAGTCAAAACATTTAGTTAAAGGCGGACTGGGCTCAGACAAATTGGCAATCCCAGGAAGTATTATTCAAGTCATTCTAAAACTGCATTAAATATTGTCTGCATGCTGCTTCAAATTTTAGGTGATCGTGGAATAAAACGAGCCAAAACATTTAGTTAAAGGCGGACTAGGCTCAGACAAATTGGCAATCCCAGGAAGTATTATTCAAGTCATTCCAATACTGCATTGTCTGCCTGCTGCTTTAAATTTCAGATGATCGTAGCATAAAACTAGTCAAAACATTTAGTTAAAGGCGGACTCGGCTCAGACAAATTGGCAATCCCAGGAAGTATTATTCAAGTCATTCTAAAACTGCATTAAATATTGTCTGCATGCTGCTTCAAATTTCAGGTGATCGTGGAATAAAACGAGTCAAAACATTTAGTTAAAGGCGGACTAGGCTCAGACAAATTGGCAATCCCAGGAAGTATTATTCAAGTCATTCCAATACTGCATTGTCTGCCTGCTGCTTCAAATTTCAGATGATCGTAGCATAAAACTAGTCAAAACATTTAGTTAAAGGCGGACTAGGCTCAGACAAATTGGCAATCCCAGGAAGTATTATTCAAGTCATTCCAATACTGCATTGTCTGCCTGCTGCTTCAAATTTCAGATGATCGTAGCATAAAACTAGTCAAAACATTTAGTTAAAGGCGGACTGGGCTCAGACAAATTGGCAATCCCAGGAAGTATTATTCAAGTCATTCTGAAACTGCATTGTATCTGCTTCAAATGTCATGATGTGTATCAGTGTGACAGGGAACAATCACCCAAGGTACATTGAAACAATGTTTCAGTTTCACAAATCACAAGGCCTAAATTTAGTCTGGAAATGGGCATCACGCCCTGGAGCAAAGGCTCTCTGGGTGTTTAAACATTTGTAATAATCGTGTTATATGGTGAAATATATTGGTCGAAAGAACATAACAGATTCAGCTCCAATAATTAATACAATACTGGTACTTACAATATATTTATGCTACGATCACCTTTTATCTAAGTTGGACATGTGCGGTCAGTCATCAGCACTTCATCTAATGAACGCGAAAAAGAATTTATGATCCCAAAGGAGACATCGCTTGGGTGAGATCAAGCGATCTCTACATTGCAGATATCGCTGCAGTGAAATTGCACAGTGCTTTGCAGACCATTGTGACGTCATCGTTACCATGACGTCACAATCAAATGACATCACTAATGGCTCTTCTACTGAAGCTGTTAGCAGTATCTTTTACACTTAAGACACTGCTTATTACCGTCTACAAACTGAAAAAGTTGGAAGAATGATGTTGGATGATAAAAAAAATCTCACCCTCGTGTCTTTTGATATCAAATATATCAACACTCGTTGATAAAAGTGGAAAAAACTCCGAGACCTGAGGAGGAGTTTTGCCACTTTTAACGACTTGTGTTGATATATTTGATATCAAAAGACACGAGGGTGTGATTCTCCATATTCCTCATACCAGAAATGCACAAAATGCACACCTCCATACACACAAAAACAATTTTGGTGCAGTTAAACAAAGGAATCTGAGGGTTGTGACTACAGTCAATCACTGTAGAGACACCAACTACGATGGTCGCCAGGCATAGAACACAAACATTGAAGCGGGCCCAAAACAATTTTAACACATAGAATAAGAAACAATAACTTCAATTAGTCGCCTACTCACCTTGACGAAATGGTACTCCAAACATATACCAGAATATATCAACTCTCTTACACGTCCTTGTTGAGGTCATTGAATTCCTACAATCCCACAGATCAATAGCAATGACCATCATAAACACCGCGATAAAGGCCAGTGTTAAGCACACGTATACCTCCCACTTAAAGGGAGACGTGAACGTCCAGATCTTCCTTGTGTTATCTGTGGAATCCCTGACTATAATGCTGGTTGCGTCGATCGTGAACGGGAAAGCAAAATCAACAACTCTTTCTCGTTCGTACGTTATGCTCAAATCCGTTATTGCCATCTCCACTGCCTGTCAGAAAATGCACAAGTGACAAACTACATAAAAACTGCAGAAGAAAGTATACACTTGAAAATTGGATTTCACCAGAAATTGACTTACGTTGTGAAAACGTTTCAATGCTGAAAACAGTCGCCGAAACACTCCAAACTTAAGGTCCGAATCACGACTATGTTACCTGTATCAAATACATTACTATAACCATTTCTTGTTTGCTTAATTTTTATCCACCATCACACATGGGTGTATTTTTCTTTTACACGACATTTTATATCCACGTTGCGAATTTAGTCGGTGTTCTGATCTGATTATAACAACATAATTTAAGCTACGTTGATTGTGACAATTATGACAAAAGAAATAATAAACCTGTCGGAATTTTCATACATAAACCTGTCTACGACTGATAGTCACATTAACCATAAATTAAAAAAAAGTAAAAGTAATGTTGCAAATGTACCTTGTTTTGCAGCTGGCCGATAAGTCCTGACCATTTACCGTCGCCAATATGTGCACCGTACTGTTTATCTTCCGGTTGAATGAATTCGTAACTACAAACATAAGATGATAGATTATGAACCTGGAACTCGACACTGAGGTAATGTCACTCTCACTGCGTAGTGACGTTTGCTGTTTGTTTGTTTGTTTGTTTGTTTGTTGTTTAAGGCCACACTCAGCTATATTCCAGCTATATGACGGCGGTCTGTAAATAATCGAGCCTGGACCAGACAATCCAGTGATTGATATCATGAGCATCAATCCACACAACTGGGATACGATGACTTGCATCAACCAAGTCAGCTAGCCTGACCACCCGATCCCGTTAGTCGCCTCTTACAACAAGCATAGTCGCCTTTTACGGCAAGCATGGGTTGCTGAAGACCTATTCTACCCCGGATATACTCTCACGTGTATATATATAACGTCAAGGCCACGGAATAACCGGTCTCGATGATCCACCGAAACAGATTCCAATGGGGGTTAAAACGAAAATAGCGGTGAAAATTATATGAATGGATCACTCAGTGGTTTACAAGTGTGTGAATCCATTTATGGTGTCCTCTGCTGGTGCATTGCGGCGTAAAACCATAGTCACTCACAACGAGGTGTACTCACGTGAAGTTCAGTCGGTCCCTAACAATGTTGAGTATGTCCACACAGAAACCGGAATAGGTTTGATTTAGATGAAAGACGAATGGATGCCACTGAAACGTATAGTAATGATTTATGCAACATGTTTCTGAAGAAAGCGAAGCCATGAAAGGTTTCCCGTTTCCCGTCACAAAAATAGACATTGGGACGGGTGACCAAGTGATCTAAAGTCTCACAATTCATTCAGACTTAAATCATGTCTTGTTATAGGATCCAAATTTCCTTTCGTTCGACCAAAGTTCGCTCTTTGGTTGATAAGAATCATACCCACGCTCGTGACATGACTAAAATACTGTCAAAACGTGTCACTTATTTCCAATTATTCATTAAGCCGTCAGACGTGAATGAATCTGATTCTATTATATTTTAATCTCTTTTTAATACTGAAAAATTGGAATAACTGTATTCTGTATATTATCTAACACTGAAGAATATATTGAATTCAGAAGAAATAAATAATTGAATATTGTTATCAGGTTGTATTTGTGGAATGAGTAATAGGCGTACCGAGTCAGTTGTAGCACTAATATAAATTATAACCAGCGAATTTGAACCCGGGTTTGAAATAATACCAAATAAAAAATGACTCGTTAATGGACTCTTACCCCTTCAAATAGCTGAATAGACTCACCGATACAGGGGGGCACGGGTGGCCCAGTCGTCTAAGGCGCCGCGATTCGCTGTGCAGAGTTGCGTCCCTTGGGCACGCCAGAAACCTATGATTGTGGGTTCGAATCCCGGTTCGCCCCGATTATGTTTCTAGGTTCGTCAGCACCATACCCATGCTCGTGGGTTTCACCGAAGTGGTAAACGTCTGAGACCTGCATCACTTCGGGCTTTCCTCCCACATTAAGCTGACACGCCGCGATATAACTGGAATACTGTTAAAAGCGGCGTTAAACCCAACTCACTCACTCACACCTATACAGGCACACCCACGTGTAGTTAAGTTCAAGGGACCTACCATTTGAT